ATTTAACGCTTTGAAATACAGTAACTTAGAGGCCAGTTTTGTTTTTTTTTAAGATTTTATTTATTTATTCATTCATGAGAGAGAGAGAGGCTGAGACACAGGCAGAGGGAGAAGCAGGCCCCATGCAGGGAGCCCGACGCGGGACTCCATCCCGGGACCCCAGGATCACACACACACACACACTGAGGCCAAAGGCAGACGCTCAACCACTGAACCACCCAGGCCTGGTCCCAAGACCAGGTTTTAAGTTCAGTTTATTTCTAAACTTGGATTGGTTGCTGTCAGAGAGAAACGCTTCTCAGGAAATGGGTTGTAAATGGGATAAAGTCATCATCATTGGTTCTGCTGACTAAACCTTGACATTTGATTTGCATTCACATACTAACTATGCAAAGATGTCTGGTTGAAATCTAAGTATTAAAAATCTATTTATCCTCCTGAAAATCATTGGCTTTGCAAACTCATGTTTTCCGACTTGTATTTTCCATATCTGAACAGTGAGAAGCCCACCAAATCTTCTCTGTTTGGAAGACTTTCATGAAGTTTAGAAAATTATATTTGCAAGTTTTTTTAAGTGCCCATGTTTGAGAGTTTTAACATCTTTTTTCTAGTAATGAAATCCTATCACGATGGAAAAACATCCCAATGGATGTTCTCAAATGATCACTTTGCAATCCTCCACAAGCAGTTGATTTCACATTCATAGCTAAAATATACCTGTTGGGGCCAGGCGGGAAGAGAAACTCCTCAAGATGGCGGATACCCCAAATGGCTGAGGTTCCTGTCACCACCTCCACCTGGGACGCCGATGGACCAATGACCTGCTGACAGCTTGACGCAGACCCTTAGACCTCTCCTTTGGACTTACCCAACCGGACCCAATGCCCTTCAAACCCCAGAGGAGGAAGTCACCTTTGACTGACCGAATTGCAATCCTTCCTTTGCATAGTGAGGGTCACTCTGGTTGGATTGCAATCCTTCCTTTGCATATGAGCCGACCAATAGGAAACCGTTCTGCCTTACAACGTTATGTAAACCCCCTGCCACCTTGTCTTGGCACGACTTCCCCGACTCACTCTTCCCCTCTGTGAGTCGCGGAACCTCGCCCGAGGGTGCCTGCAATAAAATCTGTTCTCGGACCCTCGCTTGCCTTGGTGGTCTCATTTCCATTTAGTTACTAAAAAACCTAACAATACCTTTACCTAAAGGCAATCAGTCAATGGCATTAAAAAAAAAAAAAAACTTTCTAGGGGCACCTGGGGGGCTCAGTGGTTGAACATCTGCCTTTGGCTCAGGTCCTGATCCTGGGGTCCTGGAATTGAGTCCTGCAGTGGGCTCCCCACAGGGAGCCTGCTTCTCTCTCTGCCTGTGTCTGCCTCTCTCTCTCCGTGTCTCTCATGAATTTAAAAAAACATTTTTTTTTCACAACACTTTTTTTACTGTAGGTGTTCTACTAGTGTCAGCCACTTAGCATCACAGGAGAGATCAGTACATTGGAACACTAGACTTTTTATTTTTTTTTAAATTTTTATTTTACTTTATGATAGGCACACAGTGAGAGGGAGAGAGGCAGAGACACAGGCAGAGGGAGAAGCAGGCTCCATGCACCGGGAGCCCGACGTGGGACTCAATCCCGGGTCTCCAGGGTCGTGCCCTGGGCCAAAGGCAGGCGCCAAACCGCTGCACCACCCAGGGATCCCCAACACTAGACTTTTTAAAAAGCAATTGATAATAACAAGTAACTAATAATAATAATAAACTAATACTAATTAACTAACAAAAACAAGAGGTGAATTAAAAGGCTGAATTAGAACATCAGGAAATGCAGTAGAGAAATCCCTGTAGATGAATAGGTGAGGTCTGTAGGGAGCAGGACCTGACTGCTCTGACATCTTTTCTAAATATTTACAAAATTAACAATTTTACCAGTCAGAGCATTCTAACCCATTCACAATGAGTCATTTGTAAACAATTACAAAATGTTAATGCATTTGACTAAAAATATTTGATTTCCATGTCAAAAAGGTGCCATAAAATTAAAAGATGAATGACAAAATAAGAAAATATGTGAAAAAAATCTTTAAATGCCACTTAAATAGTTCAAGAGAAAAGTTGATTTAAAGAACCAAACCCCAGGAAAAACATGTACAAAGTACATTAGCAAATTTGCAACAAAGAAAGGCAGTGGCTCTTGTAGTCCTGAAACTAATGTAACAAGAGTGTGTCAACTATGCTCAAAGTTAAAAATTGAAAATCAAAGAAGGAAATAAGAAAAGCAATGGCAATCATTAGATGAAGTATTATCCTTGAAGAAAATATTGAATATTTTTTTTTAGTATAAACTATCTGCTAGATCCTATTCTAGAACTTCTCTTGCAAGATCTGAACAACTCTGGGAGGTAGGGGCTACGAATATCTGAGCAAACCATGGAACCTTAGCTTTTTAGGTTTCTGGTCCTCAAGATCCCACTGCTCCAAGGAACAGAGAGGATTGGAAAACCAGGTCTGTGTGACTCTGGAGTTCGCTGTTCTAATCACTGTGCTACACTATGGCCTTCCAAAAAGGAGGAAGTGGCAGAGAGGAAATAAAAGTTATTATTTTAAAACATAAAATTTGCAAGTATTCTTATTCTCCATAAGCAATGCTGTAAATTGGGTACCAGTTACTTCCAGAATTGTGTTTAAAAAAAAAAGAAAGAAAGAAAAAGAAAAAAAGAGAGAAGAAAAGAAGGATGGATGGAATAAGGAAGAAGAAAAGAAATTACCATGAAAACATTGATATTTTCTGAATCCAAAATTGAATTTCAAAGAATTTCACTGAAAGTAAAACTCACAAACATGGGCCAAAATATTTTGCAGAATGATGACCTCTTCTTCTTTTACTTCATGTGCATGGAGAAAACCTCCCAACAACAGAGAAGAGATTAGATTCTCTCACATCCCTGATAGGATACGAATGGAAAAATTAGTAGAACAAAACAATATTGCCACAGGAGCATGCGATATTAAGAGTAAATTAGGAGTAAAGTTACCTGTGAGCATAATCTATAGATCGATGAGAAAGAAAGAAATTCTGTACCTCGTGTGTTTCTGAGTGACAAGTCATTTTTCTGTTATTTGTGTTTTTCTGACAGTTTTTAAACTTTTTCCTTTTATGAAATTAATGTACATACGCTTAGCTTAAAAAAAATCAGAAAAAACTAGAGGAGATAATTGAAAAGACAGTGGATTCCTATTCAGTCTTCCCAATTCCCCAGGAGCAGTCACTCTTTTTCCTTGTATCAATCTTCATATTATTTCCAAATAATATGGCTATACTCCCATTCTTGACTTAACAATTCTAGACATGTATTCCCTTCCTATTTAGGGGCTGAGGATTCAGTCTTCTGGCATCATTCACACTTTTTCACTTGTCCTGAGTGTTAACTTTATTGCAACTATAGTATTCGTTGCTAGATTAACGAGTGTACTTAGAGTGCATTCCTTTTTTTCTCATAAAGCCATTTTTCCTTATGTTCATATTTCCTTCTTCCCCAGTTTCCTTTATACTGATGGCAAATGTGCCTCCAAATGTTCTACATATCAAGCAAAACTTATCAATGTTTTTTCACATGTGCTCTCCCCTATGAGAAATTCAACAATCCATCAATTTTTCCTCTCCTAGTCTGCCACCAACCAGTACAGGCAAGGTTCTCGAAAGTTTGTGGGATTTTCCCTCCCACAGCTTAACTTCATAAGCGGGGTACAACTTTCCCTCCTGTTATACTTTAGCTAGCAGGCAATTTATTATTTGTCAATGGAGTAAAAATAATTTTTCTCGGACATTAAAGCACACTGCTTAAATAGCAAATACATTATTTTTTTCTTAAATATTTAGACATTGATAACATAATCTGTCTGATTTTTTTAAGCTTTAAATACCTTTAAAGGCAAACTTACAAAGTTCACACACTTTTGCAAACATTTGAACTTCCATAAATCTAATAAATCAAGACTTACAAGTCCAGTGAACTAGACTCTCCTAAAACTCAAACATATAAAAAAAAATTACACAAAATAGTACAATGATTGCAAGACTTATTCTACTAAGATAAGAATGGGTAATCTCATTCTTACTCATGTGAAGTTTCTAGTATCATCCTTTTTCCTCTCTTGTTTGTTTGAAAAATACTATGTTTAATGCTCTCTCCTCGTTGGTCTCTGAGAATGTTATAATGGTCTTAAATGGTATGATATTTAAGAACTTTTAATTTACTAGAGCAGAGACACAAAGAACTTGTCTCCTCTACTTAGTGTGAGACATAATGGATGGAGCCAAAATATTTCATAGAGATATGATTTTTTAAATTGTATATATTACAATTTCCTATCTTTGAAGCTAAGGCATAGATATGATAAAATGTCATATATATTACAATTTCCTATCTTTGGAGCTAAGGCATTTTTTATGCTAAATATTGAACCAAGATTTCATACAGAAAACACATTTTCTTATACTACTTTATATTGTTCATATTAGATCTAGTCTTTCATTTTATTAGATGAATATCAAAAAATATAACCTAGAATATATAATCAATCTAAACTTAGAATAACAGCTGATGAGACTACCAATAAGCAGTTGTGTGTGAATATTTTTTAAAGAAAATAGGAAAAGCACAGCCAATTTTACAGAGATTTAGCATGACTAAGTATCTTTTAAAAACTTTCAATACATATTTATATCAATTAGAAATGTATTCTTCTGGGGCACGTGGTTGACTCAGTTGGTTAAGCGGCTACCTTTGGCTCAGGTCGTGATCTCAGGGTTCTGACTGGAGTCTGCTTCTCCCTCTCCCTTTGTCCCTCCCCCACTCATATGCTCACTCTCTCTCTCTCTCTCTCTCTCTCTCTCTCTCTCAAATAAGTAAATAAAATCTTTAAAAAATTTTTTTCTTCCACTTCATAAGATTTTTAAAAGCAGGGAATGTTAATATGACTACACTTTGACACATGATAAATGCCTTCAACAAAATGTTTATTTTTGAATACTTTTAGCTTCACAGAAAAGTTGCAAAGATAATCCAGGAAATTCTGTGTACTCCTAACACATTTTCCCCAGTGCTAACATCTAATTATCAGTATACATTTGTTCAAACTGAGAGGACAGCATTGGAACACTGCTACTAACCAAACTCCATATTTCACTTGGATTTCACTGGCTTTTCCATTAATGTCAACATTTAAGTATTTTTTTAAATACTCAGCCGAAAGGGGAGGGCCTTAAATTTACAATGGTAGTTTATGAACTATTAAAATTATATTCTTGAGAAAATTCTTGCTTATCCATATATCACCTTTGTAAAGATTTTTCTTGACCCAGTGAGGTATGTGAAATATGTGACAATGATAATACAGTGACCAAGTAGTTCAAAAATTGTATAGCATTCAATTGAATAACATAGTACTTCTGAAATGTAAATAAAAGTCACTTGAAGACAAGATGTTAAGTGGCAAACTCTACCTCTAGCTATATATAGGTATGATAAAATCACTAAAATGCATTCTTTCAAGGTTTATTCACTAACATTCAAATGTGAAAAAAGATGCAAGCCACAAACTGGTTTTTATTATAATTGCGTTTTCCCATCTTTTGGTGCACTTTTTACACCATAAGATGGTCTTGTTCGATGACAGAGAAATGTGGTTTAGGGGGAGCAGAATCTCCCATAAAAGAGAATGCTAGCAGTTTTGTTGTGCCTGATGAAGAAGAGGAATGGATGGTTTGCATTAAATTCAATGGGGGGGAGTCTGCTGCGAATACTCACCTCACTCCCACTGCCAGCTGCAGCCTCTGTACCTTGTTCATTTATTTCTATAAAAGACTTATGGAAAACATTGGACAGAAATAAGTTTCCCTCCATTGACATTCCTGAGAAGTCAGCCTTGCCCTGGTTAAAGGCATCGCTCATCCCCATACTCCTCAGGGTTGACTTGAGATCATAAGTCTCTTCCAGTCTGAACTTGGGGAGATGCAGCTCCACTTCATACAACTCCATCATGTCTGCGCTGGTCCACTCACTCAACTTCTCGTAGGTGATGGCCCTTTCCAGCTGCAGGTACACAATGAGGAGGAGAGAGTCAGTGAGAAATATTGGTTGAGTGAGACCTCAAGGGATTACACAGAGGAATTACCATCACTCCTGTTATCCAGGGTAACAGAGCACACACATTTGGAAATTCTTTGTGTCATGAGATTCTTCACACAGAATCTTCGTTTTGCAACACAGTCGTTCCCAGGACACGGGAGAATTTGACCTTGATTCAAAATGGCAGTACTTCTGTGCCATCAACTACACACAGAAATGCATCAATGTAAATGTGCATTTAGGTGCTATCTACACTAAAGTATAAACTTTAGAATAAATTATGTGCCAGGGAACAAAAATACATTTGTTATGTTAACATGGGAGATGATTCTCTGAAAACAAAATAAAATAAAATAAAATGTCTGTATAATCATGACAATATGAAATTAGTAACCATAAACTATGACCAAAAAAAAAAAAAGTGAAGGAAAAGTAAAGAAAGGAAAATCTCCAAATCTGAATAGTAATGTCTATTTTCAGTCTAGTTTTTGACAGTGTTTTTTCCTATTACATTTAGAAATTTTAAGATAATATATATGAGGTATACATCCATATGCATAAGTATATATAAGAAAAAATATGCTTGATTTTTTGAGTCACATGTTTGTTTCAAGACACATGCTTTTGCTACTTTGAGAGTTTTCTACACCCGAATATTGCGGTCAGTGACATACTTGTAGATGATATACATAGTAATCTGACAACATATTTAGCTTCCTGCACTCTTAGGAAGAAAGGCTTATCTTATAAGGGTGTGACTCTCATGGTTTAGTGTCCACACTTGGTCTTATTTTTACCAGTCTTTCTAGATTTTATGATACAATTTGGAAACTTCTTTTACATTCCAGCAGGGCTGTGGACACTTAGAAGTATAAAGAAAGTGATGTACATGAAAAGTTATACACGGTGCAATGAAAGCCAGGCTGCCTATTGCATGAGAAACTAATGTTCAGTTTAAATATACTGATTGCTCAGACACATGGTCTGACCAAAATTATATCAGACTTCATAGAAATTTGGCTGATAAATAACTTAAATAATACTGGAAGGTAGTACTGAGGACTTAAACAAGATTCTGACTTCCAAAACTTGAAAAAAAAATCCATTTTAATTAAATAGAGTCTTGTTTAAAAAATATGTATCTAAAACTAGATTAACGCAAATGATTAAAAAAATTAACCTCCAATTAGGGAGGCCCTGGCAGAGGGAGAAGAAAGACCTAGAGTGAGGTCAGCTCTGTGGCTGACAGAGAATATACGTATTTGTTGCTCGTGTGGCTGTTTGTTTAACTACACAGGGCTAGAGCCTATAGATTACTTAACCTTTCTGAGGAACAGTAATACCAAACTTAAAGAGTTTTATAAAGCTTAAATGCCACTGTGAAGGTAAATTCCCTAGGGAGCAAGGTAGATTGGTTGTCTTCCTCTATAGGAATCAAAGAACAGACAGGGAGACCAGGTCTTATATTTCTCCCCAGAGGGGTAAATACCAGAACCTTCCCAGAAGACAGACTGTACCTGATCCAGCCCATCAACATCTTCTGGCAGCAGTACAAGCAGGCTGAGGTCATGGCTGTCATAGTAGAGTTGAAGGCCTATGGCTTGTGGCTTTTCAATGTGAAAAATGTGGAGCTTTTCTTTCATGGACATCATTAGCACTGGTTTGCTTGTACTCTACAGAAAGTAAGTAGCAAGGTCACTGAGGAAGTGTTTCAGCAAATCCTTAATTTTGTTTTGTATCATCATTAGTTCTCAGTACTCTGGGACACTGGCAAAATTGGTGATTCTAGACAAAATGCTGAATAAAGTTATTTAGACCTTACTTTCTGGAAATAGAAAATTTGAATTCTAAATTGGCAAGACTTTGTCTACCAATCAATAACATTATCAATAAGTGATGTGGAAGTCTCTATTTATAATGCTATTGCAGCAACCCCTGTAAATTATAGCAAGCTGGATCCTACCGGACACTTTAAAAAGTATCTAATCTTATGCAAACTATATAAATGTCGATGATTCGAAAACTGAATAAGGGGTATTTCACCTGTGAACATCTGAGAAAGTATTTTGGTGTCATAAACACTGAAATTTATTAAGAGAACAGAAAGACAATAGGCCAGGAGGAAATGTTTGCAAAACACATATCTGATTAAGGACTGGTATCAAAATATATAAAGAGCTTTTCAAAACTCAATGATAATAAAAGAACCCAATTTTATAAATAGGCCAAAGATAAGAACAGATACCTCACCGAAGGAATACATACAGCCTATGAAAGGATGCTCTATCATATGTCATTAGGGAATTGCAAATTAGAACAATGAGATACTACTACAGACCTTCTAGAAAGGCCAAAGTCCAAAACACTGACCATATCAACCACTTGCAAGGATGTGGAGTGACAGGCATTGTCATTCCCCATCAATGGGAAGGCAAAGTGGAAGCCACTTCCGGGAGACAGTTTGGCAGGTTCTTACAAAGCTAAACATAGCATTGCCATGGGATCCAACAAATGTGCTTCTGAGTATTTACCAAAAGGAGTTAAAAACATATGTCCACACAAAACCTTGCACCCAGATATTTATAGCAGCTTTTTTCATAATTGCCAAATATTGGAAGCAACCAAGATGTCCTTCAATAGGGTGACTGGCTAAACAAACTGCAATACATCCACACAATGGAATATTATTCAACAGGAGAGTGGATGATCTAGAAAACCATGGAACGACAGGGAGAAAGCTTCAAATACATATTGCTTCACGGAAGAAGCCAGTCTGGAAAGGCTACATACTATACAATTCCAACTATATGACATGCCAGAAAAAAACAAAACGAGAGACAGTGAAGAGATCAAAGAGACCAAAAGGTTGCCAGATGTTTAGAAGGAGGGATGAACAGGGGGAGTACAGGGTATTTTTTACAGCAGTTAAACTATTCTGTATGCTACCTGGCGTAATGGCGGATACATGACATTATGTGTTAGTCCAAACCCATCGAACTATACAAGACCTAAAGTGAACCCTAATGTAAACTGTAGACTTCAGTTAATAAAAATGTATCCATATTGGCTCATTAACTGTAACTAATGCAAAAGGTTAATAAGGGAAATTATGTGAGGGGAGTTTATAGGAATTCTACTTTCCTCTCAATTTTGCTGCAAACCTAAAAATGCTCTTTACAAATGTCTATTTTTAGTAAAGCTCGTGCTCAAACAAAAACAAAACTGTGCAATTCAGATGCTGTAGACATACTGTTTTGTCTATTCTATGTGGAGCTGTTAATCACCAAGTCCCACCCTTCTGCTAATGTAGTGGTCATATAACTAGACCTGTCCATTCAGAATACCTCATGACACAGTGATTTTTCAGGGATGAGCACATGAACAGCACAAAACAGAGACCTCCTTGGGAGCATTCTATCAGAGTCAGCAGCAAAGGCTTTATCTACCAGGGTTGTGAAGCTCGAAGGCTCACGACAAGGCAACCATATTCCTGGTCATATAGAGAAATCATATCTTCAGTATTAGAGAATAAAGGCAACCACCAGAGGGACTGGCGGCAGTGGGAGTGGAGGCAGAGAGAGATAGAGAACTGAGATTATGGTTTGAGACTCCCTGGATGTCTTGGTTCATCTTAGTTAGGTGACTAATGCTAATACAATTCCCGTTTTCCTGGAGCTGGTGTGCAATGCTAATGTATCACTTGCAACTGAAAATTCCTCGTGGATACACTAAGCCAGGCAACTATCCAGCTCATTTCTGGCTAGCCTATCCCATTGTATGTTTAGTCCATTCCTATCTTTAGCCCACTGATTGTCTGAGGGCCGCCCATGGCACACATCCCCAGGATTACCCTGATAGGTCCTTGGCAGCACTGTTTATGTGAGAAGACTGCACCCTCTCCACCAAGGACTAAATAGCTTTAACCAATGATGGCTAATCAATTCCTTTCCTAGGAATTTAAAATGAGATCAGACTGGTCTCTAAAACAGAGGCAGCATTGTGAGTAGCTGTGTTCTGTCATTGCGAAAGGGAAAGAAGAGAAAGACTTCAGCCTGAGGGAAGAATATGATGGGAGAAGCAGAGCTGAAAAGATAGAGACTGAATCTTGACCACATCCGACTCCTTGTTTCCACTCAAGTTCTAAGGCCCAGCCACATTCCAGTCCTGGGATTCTCTGCAATCTATCTGTCACCTCTTATTAGTCTCCCTTCTTGCTGTCATCGGTGCGTTCCTATCACACAAACAAGCGTGTTGTGTCCTAACATAAAGAGGAAACTTAATGAAAGAGATGAGATTTTTTAATTTGTATTTCTTTTACTTATGGAAGGGTAAGAGTTTCATAGAAGAGAGTATTGGTCTAGTAGAGCAAAAACAGAACTAATAGTGAAGATTTGAGGTTAGAGTTCTGGTAGATGTCTAACTTAGGCATGGCTCCAGTCACTTTACCACCTGAAACAAATAAAATAACCACCTTATCTACTCTATCATAGTCGTAACAAGGACTAAGTGATAAAATATGTGAATAGCCTATTTTCAGAGAAGAAAAAACAAAGGAAGAGGAATTCTCAGGTGGGATGGACCTGGCTTTTAGCTCAGCCATCTCTGGCCTGGTAAGAGCCAGACTTCATAGGAACATATACTCAGCCAGAAGAGTGAATTTCAAACAGAATCTCCTTTATGAAGCCATGTAAAAAGCCATGATGACTATTAAAAAGTTTCTACCTTGTTTATTCTGAAAGGCTTTTCTGTGGTGTCTTGGACTGAGAACTGATGTTCCCAGATTCCTTTAAAGTAAAGAGCGTTCACCAGGACCATTCTGGTTGCAGAATCCACAGCATCATCAGGTAGGAGATTTGGGATTTTTCCTACGAGAACAAAAGGACAGATTGCAAATGGTATAGTTACATCCTAGCAATATGCCACACTTGCAAAAATGATAATTATGAAATACTGCTAAGTGATAATATCTTATATCCACCAATGAGCCACACCAGGAAGTTAGCATTAATAGAATATTACTAACAGGTCCTGTTTAAATTTCATCTACTGTTCCAAAAAGTCCTCTTTCAGGACCAGAAGTCAATCCAAGATCTCAAGTTGTATTTAAGTGTCATTCCATCTTTGTGCCTTTGGTTTTTTTTTTTTTTTAATTTTTTTTATTGGAGTTCAATTTGCCAACATATAGCATAACACCCAGTGCTCATCCTGCCAAGCGCCCCCCTCATTGCCCATCTTTGTGCCTTTGAATCTGGGACAGTGCTTCATTCCTCCTTTGTCTTTCACGACTATGACACTTTTGAAAAAGTTTGGTAGCATGCCCCTCAATTCTCAGTTCAGATTTGTCTGATGTTTCTCCTCAGTTGTATCCCTCCCCCCCGCCACATACACACACCAGAAAGATATGTTAGGCCCTAACTACCAGCTCCTATGAATGTGAATTTATTTGGAAATAAAGTCTCTGCAGATCTAATCAAGTTAAGATGAGATCATACTGGATTAGGGTAGCTGTAATCCAATAACTGATGTCCTCACAAGAGGAGGAAAATTTGGACATAGGCACACAGAGAGGACAAGACTCTGTGAAAACACAGACATAGGACAGACATAAAGATTATATGTTGACTGAGGCAGAGATTGAAGTGTCCATAAACGAAGGAATGTCAAGGATTGCCAGCAACCACCTGAAGCTAGGAGGGAGGCATGCAACAGTGCCTGTCCTAGAGCATTTAAAGGAAGTTTGACCCTGCTAATACCTTGATTTCAGATTTGCAGCCTCCAGAACTGTGGGAAAATACATTTCTATTGTTTGAAACCATCCAGTTTGTGGTAATTTGTCATGACAGCCCTAGGCAACCAACACAACCACAGGAGCAATGTTGTGCTTCTCAATGAATCATACCAGGAAATATATTATGTTCCTATTTCCCATTATGGGTGATGTTAACTTTGATGATTTGAATCCCACAGGTTTCTCACTGTAAAATTACAACTTTTACCCTTTATAATTCCCAAGTATCATTCAGGGAGCTACTTTGTGACCACATAAATTTCCCGTTTCTCATCAAACTTTTGCCCATCAATTTTTGCATTCATGGCTAATCTTGCCTGAAACAATTATGACTGTGGTGTTTGCCCAAGGATGATTTTTCAATTTCCACTATTTTTCTACATTTACTAATTAGAATTCTACTATGAGGAGGAACTTTTTCATATCTTCCTTTTATTTAGGTATTCAATAATTTATATCAATATAGACTCATGGATATTTGCTTTATTCTATGGGTTATGATCTATTACTATCATTGCCTATTTTGTTGCTCAAATCATCCCCGATTTGGTTATTGGAAACCTCCTCAAGGTGGCTCCCATGCCCTTTTGACATGTTCCCAAGTATTTTAAGCGCTTCCCTACATTCTGGTACCACAATGTGTCCTAAGGTTTATCTGGTGCTTTCCATGTCCCAGACCTAGAATTGGCATTTCTTCCAGAAGCCCTGGTTACTTTTTTGAAGAATGGCTTTTTAGAAATCAAGATGTGGATATTAGCTATGCGCGATATCACTAGAGTGTCATCGCTCAGCAGAGAAAGCTAGGAAATACATATATTATACACACATCTGTCAATAGTTCTATATCAAATTCTCTTTCTACTTATATATTAAAGATGAGGAAGTCATACTGCTATCTCCTATTTCAATCCAGCACCACGGAGTTCATGCTCACCTTTGCTTTTCCTTATTTGCAATTCCTTTCTTTGTCAGTGAGAAACCTGGACCTTATTATTTCCAATATATTTATTTATCTGCTCCATCCTAGAATATACATAAGGTAGCTTCAGACTGGCTAACCCATTCTCCTATTAAAAACAAATTTGCTAACTAGGTTACAAGATTTGTGTACAGTTCTCTTTTTAAAGCCTTAGAGTACATGGTCAAAATATTATTTTTTCTAGGACAAATATTTGTTCAAAAGAATAATTCTGCAACAGGAATGTCAGCTAAGAAAACATGCTATTGAAAAAGAACTTTGAATTTTGAAGAGAAAATACAGATGGGGTAGGCTGATAGGTGAAACCCTGCACACTTGTGTGTGCACACACACTCCCCAATACCAGAGGGCTACTGAGCAAGTCCAAGTGTTATCCGGGAGTCGGAAGCTCACAAATCAAGAGCAATGGAGCTTCTTGGGAAAAGGGGAGTGTCAATGGGATTGAGGGAATTATTCCATTTACAGCAATTATTCTTCCTTGACTGTGATTTAGAATCACCTAAGGATTTAGAAATACTGATGCCAGAGCCTCACTCCCAGAGATCTGAATTAATTCATCTGGGGTTGGGCTTAAGAATTAGTAAACTTAGTTTCACGAACAGCAAGAACTGAGCGCCACTGGTTTGGATCCACTTGATCTATTGGCCTTTTATACCTCTCTGCATGCCAGCAATGGGTAGCAAAACTATTAGCTTGCAGGTTAGTGCAGTGAGCAAGGATACCCATGTCACAGTGGGGTTAGGATATAATGGGGTAGCTGAATTGCATTTTTTTAGAAAAAGGATTAGATATAACATGTGTAATGAAACTTTTGGAAATAATGAAAAACAACTAAAGTTAAGCCTATTTAACTTCTTGATTTCCCTTTATTTCTACAAATGAAAAGTAGGTAGGGAAAACAATAATACATAAGTGAAATATAATAAAACAACAATTAAATGAAATCCAGAGCTCCGGCTTTCCATTTTTAGTAATTTGCTGGTAAACTGGGTCCAGGTAGGGGTGGGAGAGAAGGAGATTCTTGATTTATAGCCCACTTCTGTGGTGTAAATATTCCCACCATATTGATTTTAAGCTACCAGCATGAAGTCTCTGAAAAGGGGATTGGGGAGAGATGTGCACATGCAGTAAATGGGCTCCCTTCTACGTCACCACACACCCTGCCTGCGTAGTCCTCACCGGTGCACATCAGAAGCACTGGAGTGGCTTTTTTTTTTTTTTTTTTAAGTTCTGGCGACAGCACTTTTAGAGATTCCAGTCGATTTGAGGCATGACTTGGCTATGTCTATTCAAAACAAAACAAAACAAAACAACACCTCCCTCATCTATGAAACCAACATTTTGATTTTAACAATTAAATTTGAATTTTATTTTATTTCTTTTGAAGAATTTATTTGAGAGAGAGAGAGAGAGCATGAGTGGGGGGAGGGGGGTGGGAAGGTGGGGGGATAGGATGGTGGGCAGAAGGAGTGGGAGAAGCAGGCTCCCAGCTGAGCAGGGAGCCCAATGCAGGGCTCTATCCCCAGGACCCTGAGATCATGCCCTGAGCCAAAGGCAGACGCTTAACTGACCAACCCACCCAGGCATCTCTGAATGTGATTTAAATGCTGATGTCAAAACTTTCTGAAACATTTTAGTGTTGTTTTTGGATCTTATTAATGACAGTATATTAAACTTAATTTAAAATTTGATGATTCAACATGGGGAGGCCGTCTACATTATTTATTTAACTTTATTTTTGCATGGAAGTTTACTTTTTTAAAAGTTCTGTGTAATTTTTAATTACTCTATCATTTGATAGAGTTGTAGATGCAAATAGAGAACATCTCGAGGACTAAGTTTTGCACAGACTTATCTCAAGTTGGTTGCAATCCAAATGATGTTAGTTGTATTGTATTGTTCTCTGGGTTCATATGTTTTCAAAGAAACCAACCTTTTGAGCCCAGGCTGCATTAGGACATGTAAAATATAATTATTTTACAAAGAATGTACAAAGTGTAGTTAAATACAACTTTAAAGTAACAGAAAAATTGGACCATGATTTTGTTTACTCTTTAGAGCGAAAGTGCCACCTACTGGCTCACTTATTGCACACACCCTTGGTAGTTTGAGGTCACGAGAAGGACAGTCTTCGAAGATATTCACAGTAAATCCTGCTGAGCACAGTTATTAATGTGACACAAGAGTGCCCGTTGTGTGCCAAGCACACAATAGATTTCGAGATTACAAACATGTAGATAATAACCTTCCCCAATATCCACTTTTAAGTAGCTTCTAGCTGTAAAGAAAACAAACCAGGAAAAAATGTGCAACATATGCCTGACACTATTATTGAGACTTTGACTCTAAATGCCATGTATATCCCAGTAGTGCATATGGCTACTTGAAACCAGGCCTATTTCAAAGCTTACAGAAAGAAGCTTCTTTCGGGTGATTCAGATGGAATGTAGTCATGCCAAAGAGTTTCTTAGCAACTTTTTCTTAAGGATGTGCAGAACTCTGCCCTGACAAAGTCAAAGTTCCTGAGTAGCTGGTTAATTCCTTACTTTACTTGGTATTGAATAGCCCTCAAACAACTGATATTTGTGTTTAATGTGTAAAGAGAGAATACAGAAGGATTACAGCTTTCTTCCTCTTTGGAAGATTCCACTTCTAAGACAGAGCCGGCAGGGCCAGCTGGAGCAATGAAGTCATGAGATGTGGGAAATAGAGGCTTCATAGAAGATCCTGTGAAAAATCTAACATGCCCTGGGTTAGCTAATTTTGGAGGAACTCTCATTTTGCGAGTAGTATGACAACAGAGGATTTTTCAAAGTGTATCTACCCTATATCTTGACTATAGAGTAGCTGTAATCTGAAGTCTATTCTTTCCGCCATAATTTCAGATTATTAATTCAGCTCTTCCTCAAAAGCAAAACTTCTTTTGTGCTGTCAAATATGGTAGCCACTAGACACACATGGCTACTTAAACATAAATTAATTAAAAAGAGCTCAAGTTAAAAATTCCGTTCCTCAGTCACATTAGCCACATTTAAACTCATCCATAGTCACATGTGGATAGTACAGGTGACCATAGCACACTGGGCACTGCAGACTTATGGCACATGTCTATCACTGCAGGAAGATCTCCTGGGCAACTGTGTGATCTAGAGAGATGGATCTGGTCATGTTCCTTGAGGGACAGTCTATTCTGGGGCAGCATGGCAAGGAGCCTAAGAACCGAGCTTACAGCTGCAGACAACGGCTCTCCTCTAGGCTCTAAAAAACTTTGCTTGGTGCATAAATCTTTTCAGAGCCTAGAGGAGGGCCATTGTCTGGTGCTGCATAAGCTCAGCTTCTTCAAAGACAGTAGATAACTGCTCTTAGCCTTTCTATCTGTAGGGCTCCCCTTCTCTTCCAGTCAACGCAACAGTCACTGAGCTAGGAATTTGAGACCTCAGATTTAGTTTACTCAGACCATTCTTGCAGCCACTTCTGCAATGTTGAATTTGTGTTGTATGTGACAACATACGTTTGCCTGTACAATCCCATTTGGTCTTCCTGCCAATGGAAACAGTATAAGCACTCAGCAAATCCTAGCTGATCTATAATTCTAAAAACAAGCTTGCTTTTGAATGAATCTAAATCAGGTGTAAGTTAAGTAAAACAGTCACTCTTGCCTCACATGTGGCTTTTGAGTCACTAGTTCAATGAAAAAGGAACTGAGAATTCAGGGCTGCCAAGTTCCTCAGTGTATTTTGATAAACATTAACATTCTGAACAACTACTATTAGCAGGCCTGCTGTGTGTTAGTGACTTAAAGCTGAAAATCCCATCAGGCAGCATCATTGCACTTGAGCCCTTGAGTCTAGTAGGGGAGGCTGCAGCAGCTAACTTCACTAGCAGGGTGATGCATGTCAAAGTAAATTTTCACACCGAGTGTTGTGTGAATAAAAAGGAAGGCAGAAATAAACTACTGGAAGTTCATTAAGATAAAAAGCTTTTGCACAGCAAAGGAAATAATCAACAAAACTAAAAGGCAGCCTATGGAATGGGGGAGAAGATATTTGTAAATGACATATCTGATAAAGGGTTAGTATGCAAAATAAGTTTTAAAAACTTAAAAAACTTAACATCCCCAAAATGAATAATCCAGTTAAGAAATGGGCAGAAGCCATGAATAGACGTTTTTCCAAAGAAGACATACAAATGGCCAAAAGACACATGAAAAGATGTTCAACATCACTTGGCATCTGGAAAACGCAAATCAAAACTACAATGAAATATTGCCTCATACCTGTCAGAATGGCTAAAATCAACAACACAAGAAACAACAGGGTGTTGGTGAGGATGTGGAGAAAGAGGAACCCTCTTACACTGTTGGTGGGAAGGCAAACTGGTGCAGTCACTTTGGAAAACAGTATGGAGGTTTCTTAAAAAGTTAAAAATAGAACTACCCTATGACCCAGCAATTGCACTATGAGGTATTTACCCAAAGATACAAAAACATTAATTCAAAGGGATACATGGACCCCTATGTTTATAGCAGCATTATTAACAATAGCCAAGTTTGGAAACAGCCCAAGTGTCCATCAACTGATAAAGAGATAAAGAAGATGTATATATACTCAATGGAATATTGCTTAGTCATAAAAAAGAATGAAATCTTTCCATTTGTAATGATATGGATGGAACTAAAGGGTGTTATGCTAAGTGAAATAAGTCAGTCAAAGAAAGATGATTTCTTTATACCAGATGATTTCACTCATATGTGGAATTTAAGAACAAAACAAATGATCATAGGGGGAAAAAGGAGAGAGCAAACCAAGAAACAGACTGTTAACTACAGAGAACAAACAAATGGATGGTTACCAGAGGGGAGGTGGGTGGGTGGGGGATGGGTAAAATAGGTGATGGGAATTAAGGAGGGCACTTGTGATGAGTACCAGGTGTCCTATAGAAGTACCGAATCACTAAATTTTATACCTGAAACTAATATTACACTACATATTAACTAACTAGAATTTAAAGAAAAAATAAAAGCATTAAAATTAAAATTAAAAAATTAGGGATACTTGGGTGGCTCAGTAGTTGAGCGAATGCCTTCGGCTCAGGGCGTGATCCTAGGATCTGGGATCGAGTCCCACATCGGGCTCCTTGCAGGAAGCCGGCTTCTCCCTCTGCTTGTGTGTCTGCCTCTGTGTGTGTGTGTGTCTCTCATGAACAAATAAATCTTTTTCAAAAATTAAAGACGTTTAGTTGGCAAATCAAACTTCAATAAGAAAGTAAATTTAAAAAAATTAAAGAAATAGAACACTCACCTCTAGGTTAGCACAAGGCTACCCAGCTAAAAACTACATCTTATTGATCTTTATGACAGCAAGTCTGGGTGACCAGCTATATCCTGGTTTGCCTGGGCCTGAGAGGCCTTTCAGTGCTAAATCCAGGAAAGTCTCAGGCAAATCAGAACAGGAACATACAGCCATGTAACTGAGTTTAGGATATGAGTGCAACTGATGTGTGAAACTTTCAGGTCATCTCCTTAAAAAGCAAAGAAATTTTCCTTTCCCCATTTCCTGGTGGCTATTAAATGACAAAAGCAAGAATCATTAAATATGAAAGCCAGGTTTTGAGGGTGGCACAGCTGACCCTCCAGTCTGGGTCTCCAGATCACCTCAGGAAACAGAATACTTATCTATCTGCCTTTTGACTATTATGTGAAAGAATAATAAGCTTCTACTTTATCATTAAGCCACTGTATTCCAGGTCTCTCAGATGCAGCAGCTTAGCCCACTACTCTAATATGATCTGATTTTGAAAATTACTTAAGATTACATCTAATGCCACAATTTTGTTGTTAATTACTAGCTATTTTTCCTTAGAAATCACAAATATAGCAGTATGTCAACTTTCCCCCTTGCATTTTCCTGCTTTTTGTCCCTGGGCTCCTCTTTGGAATTATTGGGATATGAGAATTTTCTTGTCCACTTAGTAAAATGGGTATCTTGACATGTATGTTTTAGATACGACCGATTGGGAAAACTGTGGATCTGAAAATCATGGGCATGGATAGAAAGAAATATTCTGAATATTTAAAATGTGTCCATAGTTCTAGTTAAGAAATACACATACTTCCACACAATGCAAGTTCAAAAAAATACAACAATGCTCAGCAAAGACCCTCTGCCAAACACCTTGGTGAAAGCTTACCCTCCGTCTGGCTTTCAACCCAAGAATTGATCTCCTTTCGAATTTGTCCAGAAGCTCCCACAAAGTTAACAGACTGTGGTTCTGCACTGAAGTATTCTTTCATGTCTTCTAAGTATTTCTGGAAGATAGAGGTAAAAATCTCCTTTTGCAGAGTTTGTCCAAAACTGGGAAATCCAGTCTATCGAAGGACAGTTGCAAACCCTCACCCTGTTGTCCCCTTCTGTCTTTCCATACTCTGTTTTTGGTCAAAAACTAAGGGCTCCCCTCTTTAAAGTTAGCTGGACACTGACTAGCCATGTAGAAGTCCAGGTGTGGAGGAAGGCCTGCCTCCCATAGTTCTGGGGGCTTCTATACCCTTGCCTATTTTTTTTAAGTAGGTTCTACACCCAATGTGGAACCCAATGCAGGGCTTGAAGTCACAACCCTGAGACCATGACTCAGATGCTTAACCAACTGAGCCATCAAGGTGCCCCAACCCTTTCCTATTTTTATTCATGCCTGTAGAATGGGGCTGGAATGAAAATGAAGAGAACTCTAGGAATCTCAGGACTGACTCCAGTGACTAAGACATATTAGCAGTTGCACTTGGCTTTCTGCAGCAGAGCAGGAACCAACGTGAAGCCTGTAGGTGTGGCAGCTGCCTGCTATGGACTCTAGTGCCCAAGAACCTGTGGAGGGCCCCTGTGGAAAACTGTAGATTGCTAAGCATGGCCAAAGGTTCAGAAGCCTGTCTGGGGGAAGAAAGCTGACATCATCCTCGCAACCCTTTGATGTCCAGCCTGGTGGCAATCATCATAAGCAGGCTATAGGGTTGTTGCTATGAGGGCACTGCCATGAGAGCATAATTTATTTCTCAGGACTGCTGTCCTTCATACTCCTTCAGTTTATTACTCTATGGAGGAATTGTGTGCAATAAAAAGTGTGAGTTAATTTAGCCTCCAGGCAGCAGTTTGAAGATTAGGAAGTCTAAATTCTGTAGAAATTATCACCTAGTAAGAAAGGAAAGCTTAGAGATTCACAAGGCATCATTCCCTGTCTCAACTCAGCGGTTCTGATCAACCTCTCCGAGCACATCCAGAGCTTGTGAACATTTTAAAAGACGTATCATTTTGTATTTCTGCATCCTTCTCATCTCTAAGTACCCACCCAACTCAAATACCTCCTACTTCTGGACCAAACCCGAATGCACGAGACTACCAGTAACAGAAATGTCTTTAAGGCCTTGTCTGGATGCTCTTCTGTCTTTAGTAATAACAAAGTCCAAGTCCTGAACTCCCCAGAATTCACTGGCTATGGGCAGGGACAGTACTGCTTGTTATCACAAAAAAGCTTTATCTTTTCTATTGCTCTCCCTCTACCCTACGCAATTTCCTTGCTCTTTGCTCACTGAGCCAAAGGATGTGATGGACTAACATGAAAGAAGTCAATGCTTGGCCTGGTTCAGGGTTGACCACTCTGAGGAGCCCTTGAATCTGAACTGAGGACAAAAGCATGGTCTGCATTGTGGGGTCTCAACCATCTGAGAAGGGGAGAAGTTGATTTTATTCCATGTTAAGAGTCTTTTGTAAAGTCTCTAAAGTTATGCTGTGACTGACTTGTCTGATCTCAAAGTCAGCTTTGCACTTGAGGACACACACAGTCTCTTGCCTCACTCCTAGGACCAGCACCACCTTCTGCTCCTGCAGATTGACCCTACTAAGTTACTTGACATCTTTTGCTCCATTTCCTGTGAAACACATGCTAACCTACACAACCCACATTTCTATGCATGTTCGTCTGCTGAGGTGCACCCCTTCATTCTGAGCATAATGATCTTCTCACTAGATCTGGCTTGAGACCCATTATTGGTTTCCTTTACAACTAGACACGTATTGGTGGTCTATATGATTGTTTACCAGTAAAGCCGACCACGTCCGTTAAATTATCCTGGGATCAGTAGAGAAATGTACAGAGTTTCCTGATTGGTCTCACATGGCTCTTTCTTTCCCACCAGCTTAAAACAACATATTTGCACTTACAGTGTGAAATGGGTAAGTTTTCTCTCCATATAACCTGTTGGCTGTTTTAAGGATGTAAGATGTGCTGGGATTGTTGATTTCTGAGATAAGAGTCTGGAAGTGAGAATGTATTTCTTCAACCTTGCCCACATCGAATTCCTTTAAAAGAAAAGGCATTAGTCAAATAGTCAAATGAAAACATTGAACAAGAACTATGTATATATGAACACCCTATACCTAAATGATTTGGTGTACTGCAAACAAAAGCTGAAATCAATTTATGGTGGACAAAAAAATGTTTTCTTCAGTGTTAGCAGGGCAAGACTTTAAATGTTGCTGGGGCATCGTTTTCTTCACATTTAGTTTGAAAAAGCAAGAACAGATTAGAAGGTGGGGAAGTTTTGAAGGGGAAAAAAAGATGGAGAGAGAGAAAGGGAATGAATACAACACCCCTTCCAAAAAAGTGTACAAATTTTTGTATTTTTGAAAATGTTCCATAATTTTATGATATTTTTCTAAGAAAAGTTCCCTATCAAAAGTTGCTTAAAATAGCCACTAAAATACATGCGCTGCAAGTGTTTTCTGCTTAATTATCAAATGTATATTAAAAATAAGACATACCATCTTTCTTTTCTTTTCACTTTCAGGACAAGATTTGAGGTCCTTGTCTCTGCTAAAGTGAAGCACCTGTCATTTAAATAAAAAGGCAATAAGTGAACATGCTTTGTGAATACATAATTATATGAAATACTTATCAGCAAATACGAGGCAGTCATTCCCATCACTACAGAATGTATAATTAATTAACTAGGGGGGCTCTGATTTCATTTAAATGATGTGTTAACTGAATGGATGGAGTAAGCCAACAACAGCTTTTTTTTATATATAAATTAATTTTTATTGGTGTTCAATTTACCAACATACAGAATAACACCCAGTGCTCATCCCGTCAAGTGTCCCCCTCAGTGCCCGTCACCCATTCACCCCCACCCCCCGCCCTCCTCTCCCTCCACCACCCCTAGTTCATTTCCCAGAGTTAGAAGTCTTTATGTTTTGTCTCCCTTTCTGATATTTCTCACACATTTCTTCTCCCTTCCCTTATATTCCCTTTCACTATTATTCATATTCCCCAAATGAATGAGAACATACACTCCAACAACAGCTTTTAAATAAATTTTTTAAACTCCTGTTTAAATACCTGGTGTCTTTTTTTTAATAAATTAATTTTTATTGGTGTTCAATTTACCAACATACAGAATAACACCCAGTGCTCATCCCGTCAAGTGCCCCCCTCAGTGCCCATCACCCACTCACCTCCACCCCACCCCCCGCCCTCCTCCCCTTCCACCACCCCTAGTTCATTTCCCAGAGTTAGGAGTCTTTATGTTCTGTGTCCCTTTCTGATATTTCCCACACATTTCTTCTCCCTTCCCTTATATTCCCTTTCACTATTATTCATATTCCCCAAATGAATGAGAACATACACTGTTTGTCTTTCTCCGATTGACTTACTTCACTCAGCATAATACCCTCCAGTTCCATCCACGTTGAAGCAAATGGTGGGTATTTGTCGTTTCTAATGGCTGAGGAATATTCCATTGTATACATAAACCACATCTTCTTTATCCATTCATCTTTCGATGGACACCGAGGCTCCTTCCACAGTTTGGCTATTGTGGACATGGCTGCTAGAAACATCGGGGTGCAGGTGTCCCGGCGTTTCATTGCATCTGAATCTTTGGGGTAAATCCCTAACAATACCTGGTGTCTTTATTCTTATTCTCTTTATAGGACATTTAAGATGATGTTGGGAAGATCCTTAGAGGTAAAAATCTCTTGTATTCCATGTTTTATTTTTTTCTCTAAAGTTCTTTTGAAAACTAGGTGTTCAATTGAGAGATTCATTTAGACAATTTAAGAGTAAGCCACTGTTGCCCCAATTATCTAGAGAATTCGGGGATTTTAGTCATTTATTCTAGTTAAGTGTTTGTTCTCATTGTCTACCCCACTTGGCAATTATAGACACCGTCTCTGTGGTCACCCCAGCATTTCATTTGAAAGTTAACTAGAAGGATGTGGACATTCTTGCTTTCCCTGACTTGTACAACAGTAGAAAAATAAGGTGATTATTCCATCTCCCACAGCCTGGACCCAGCTCACAAGAAGGAAAAAACTCTAGTTTACCAAAGGTTGTGCTGACACATAGTGATGGGGTGCTTGAGTGACTCAGTCTCAATTACAAACCGATGTTGTTGATATATAAATAGTATTTAAATAAAGCAAGTCCATGAAACACACAGCAATATATTTATATGAAGTTGACCTAAATTGGAATCCATCTAAGATTGTCTATCTTAGTAATAAACAATTATTAACTAGTGGTGAACCAGGATTTGCTGTGAACCAGGATTTTGTTGTTGTTGTAAACTACACAATATCTTGTGAACTAAAAGAGTAAGGATGACATCCTAGACCCAAACTGACAAAATATATATTCTTCCTATTTCATTCAGAATTACTGGCTGTGCCTTTTTCTGTATTTGGCCCTGAGGGTGCCACCTTGAGTGGAAATTCTATCACTTGGCCTTTTGATTATTGCATGACTTAGGGCTGAATTTGCTCTTTTCTATTTCTGTTTTAAAAACTGACACATATATTTATGTTTGTGCACATGCACACATATACAAGTGGCTTTTTTAATTATGTTTTTGCTATCCATGGCTATACTTGGGCACACACGTGCACACACACACAATGCTTTGAAGATGCTTACAGCAAATCAATAATTACTTATACAATACTATTGTTTTGTTATTTTAATGCTCTCAATGGACTCTACATTCATTCAGACAACCAGGGATTGAGCACAGAAACAACCAAACAAAACAGAAAAGGCTGGATTCACTTGATTTTTCTATTTGCGTCTCCAGGAAAATCCTTCTGAGATTGGAAAGATGATGACTAATTCTATTGTTTAAAGTATGAGCCATTTAAAAACGATACGGTATCACTCAAATGTATAATTTAAGAAACCAAACAAATAAACAAAGCAAAAAGAGACAAACAAAAAACCAGGCTCTTGACTACAGAGAACAGAGGGTTACCAGACAGGAGGTAGGTGGGAGGGTGGGGGAAATAGATGAAGGGGATTAAGAGCTCACTTGCCATGATGAGCACTGAGTAATGTACAGAACTGTTGAGTCACTATACTGTACACCTACAACTAATATAACACTGTAGGGTAGCTTCACTGGAATTAAAATTTAAAAATAAAGTATGAGCCATTTCTTCTTGAAATATATTAATAATCAAAATAAAATTGTTTTTGGTGTTGAATCAAACTTGATAACCTTATCATTTGATCTTGCTAGGGAACACGAGCTCTTACATGGTTTTTCAAGCAGCAATTTTCCAGGTGATTCTCTTTCCCAGACTTCTTTTTACATCCTAAAATAATACGTTTAAGAGTATCTTTTATTTTGAAGGATATGGCTATAAAATGTAAGCTATTTGGACTTCAGGAAGCAAATGACGATGAAAATTAAGGAAACACTCTGTTTACAGGCCACAAAGAATGCTTGCCCTCTTCTGCTCACCTGGGCCATTTGGACTGCAGTGGTACTTCCGGTGCCCAAATATACCATGGCCAACGAGGTCGAGATGCCCCAGGGAGAAAAGAAAATATTTTTGCCCTCAGCTGATTCAGCTAGCTTTTTGCTAAAGTCCAGGGCAAATTGGTTGATTGATTTTGCTAGAGAGTCCATTGGGAAAACCTAAGAAAAATAAAGCAGAGATGGAAAACTTGTTAATAATCCTTTCCATTTATTTTACTTTTATATTTTACTGTTGGCTGACCCAACTATCTTCTTCAATCACTCCCTCTTGAAATGAAAAAAATATATATTATCTAATTTGATTTTACATAGTATATTTAATGTATATACTTTCATACATTTTATATGCATGCATTTCCATTTATTCTTACACGGGTACCTATTCATAACAACCAAATGGGCTGGAGGAAACTTTCATACCAACATTATTAATTTACATATTAGAAAACTGAAATCCAGAGAGTTTAAGAGAACTGCTCAAATTTTCGTGCTAAGGTGCAGAAGAGAACAAAGCTGGTTAGTTGGCAGCTCCTTGTTGAGAAAAGCACAATAACAATGGCAATGGAAGCAGGTTTTCACACTGTCAGGCTTGAGCTGCTTTTCAATGCACAACTTGACTATTGACTTTACACAGTAGTTGAGAAATCGTTAGACATATTTTCAAGACACTTTATGTTTTTTCTCACTTATCAATCACTCATATTTTTATATTTTTGAACCTTATTTATTCATTCATGCCTTTAGATATGCTCTTCTTGGTTCCGAGAATGCTCTGCTCCTCCTTTACTCTATTGGAATCCAATTCTGTTCAAGTTTCTCTTTTTTCTTTAGAAGCTTTTCCTGATCTCCGTGTGCATAGAAGTTAAGTCTCACAACATCATTTCTGCCCCTTGCTTGACATTTATCCCACTGGTACTTCTGTCTTCATATGTTTATGTCTTTCCAACTCCAGCTAAGTTCCTTGAGAGTAAAATTGTCTATTTCTCCAACCACACCCCACTCAGGACTTAACACAAAATGTGTGCATATAAATTCTTGTTTATTATTTCTTTACAATGTTCATTATTTGGGCTTCAGACGCCATTTTTTATTCATTTAAACTTGAAACCATACAGTATAGTGGGAAATGCTCATAGAGAAGTAGGGAGATCAAGGCTCTTTGCCTTTACTCCCATTCACTTGAGTCCCTCTGAAACTGGTCTTCTTGAACAAAATATCTCAGTTTTTCTCATTTAAAAAAAAATTATGTTACCTAGAACTTCATCTTATACTGGCATTACCTGACCCTTAGAACTTTAGAAAGGTCAAGAGTTCTCTCTAGTCAAATAGTTGAATCAAGGGAGAGCCATATGTACGCCAAGTTTTGATTTCATCATGAATTAGATTAGCAGATTTTCCTGCTAAAATCCCTCCTAACCATAGGCTTATACCTAGTCAAAGAACTTCCCATCCTCTAAATCCTGCTTCAGCCATAGTTCCTACCTATTATTAAAGATGATGATAATCCTAGGCTAGTATTACCTGACTAAAGAAGAAACAACTCTAGTTTTGTAGTAAATCTACACCCTTTCAAAATGTTCAAAACTTGCCAGTATGTATTTTTTCTTGATAGATCTAGTGGCATCTTGGAAATAACCTCCTTAATCTCTTTTCAGCTATATTCATTCAACAATGCTTTGTTTATTGCCTATACATTAAGCTTTATCTCTTTAGAACTCATGAATCACATTCATATGGAAAATGCTTGGCTCCTCGAAACCATACTAACCATGAAGGGAGGAAAAAGTAAAATCTTAGGGCCTGAGATTTTTATCTTTTTACCTAAACCATAGGTAGAATGTAATAAATTCCTGAAAACAATACTTTTATCTAATGAAAGAGCTCATTTCTTGTAGAAAGCTAATACCCAGTTATGTTCAGCTTCATTAATTCTCTTGCTAATATCATCAATCATTAATATATGAGGTATTGCCCAGAAAATAAAGGGACAATCCCTGTCGTTTTTTTTCTTACAAAAAATATATAGACATGATAATCCATTAGTAAAAGTTAACCCAAGTGTGAAATGTGCTTTCTGAAGGATGCAGAATTTTAGGATTATTTTTTAAAAATATTTTATTTATTTATTCATGAGAGACAGAAAGAGAGGGGGAGAGAGAGAGGGAGAGAGAGGTAGAGACATAGGCAGAGGGAGAAGCAGGCTCCATGCGGGGAGCCCCAGATGGAACTCAATCCTGGGTCTCCAGGATCATGCCCTGGGCTGAAGGCAGGTGCTAAACCACTGAGCCACCCAGGCTGCCCTAGGATGAATTTTTATAAGAATTCATTAATCCATACAAGGGTTAGACAATGATTTTTTTCAGAGATTATAAACATTTAGATCAGAAACCTACTATGCCATTTTCAAAAAAAAAGTTTTCTTTGCAGTTTTCAGGAATTATAGATGTGTCAGCTTATATATATATATATATATATACACATATATATTTATATATGTAATATATGCAAATATATGTATGTAAAGTATGTAAAATTTGAATCTCTCAAGGGCTTAGGGGAAAAGCTGGAGAATTATGAAAGTAATAAAAGGATTGTGTCATTCATCAAAACGTCCCATCATACACATAATCGCAAAGAACCTTGGAGTCCCCTTTAGTCCAACTGCCTTGTTCTATCTACTAGGAAACTAAGGCCCAGAGAGCTTACATGTGCTGCCCAATGTGTACAGCCAGCTAAGAGCAAAGTTACTGCTGCAATCCCATTCTCTGGGCTCTGAATACGATTGTTTTTGTCATTGCATCTCATTGTCTTCAAGATTTTAATGGTAAAAGGGAAGGACTGGGTGAGGAAAGAAGGTGAACAAGAGGAAGAAGAAAGGAGGGAAAATGGTGAGGAGGAGGAGGAAGTGGGAAGGATACTCACCCCTTTTTCCATAAAAGGATACCCAAGGTTCCTTGACTGCCCAACAAGACTACACTGCCCACCTTGTGGAGCTGTGCCTTCCAGAGGATGACATCTCCCCTCAGCACTTCTACATTTACCCAAAGCCATTTTCTAAGGGAAGCAATAGTTTGGGGTCTTTAACATTGAGCACATAGTGGAAGGCTGGGGTTGAGGCTACTTGATGGAAGAGAAGAAAGCTACCAGCCCAGGGAATGGTGGCCAGGATGGGATGTGGAGTGGGAACAGAAGAGAACCAAACCATTAATTCCACTCATTAATGACTGGGACCAAATTCATATTGCCAAGCCTATTCTCCTGAAGGGTTAGAATGGGTTGGGCTCAATTATTCTGAGAATACTCTATTTCTCTTTGCCTATGTTGGCAGACACAGAGGTGGCCAATCTAAAAATGTGACAAGAGGAGATTCCGTTCACGGCCTCACATCCTGGTGAAACCATTTCTCTACCTCCTTTTAAATGAATGCTCTCTTTCCCTCTCTCTCTCTTTGCCCTCTTTCTCATACAAACTTGGAACCAGTCCGGGGTTAAATCCATCTGACTTGCATAGAATTCTCAGGAGGATGAAGCTTTATCTATTATTTCTGTTTTCGGAGCCTTGATCATTTGTCACTCAGGTAGGCACTTCAGTAAAAAAGGAAAACATAAACATTTTGAAATAAAGAAATGCGTACAATACCTTGTTTTCTTCTGCTGGAGCAGAATTGGCAAGTGGTTCGTTCAGTAAGCGATTGTGGCTGAGTTAAGTAACTTCTAACTGTAGAAATATCTTTAAAAATCCTAGCTCCTCCCTTTTCTTAGCTCCACCCTCTGACTCACTTTTACAAGCCCTTACACTCTTCCTTTAAGGTCTGGCTTGGCCAGGAACTCAAATAAAAAGACAGAGATAAACAGTTAAGGTTTTGCCTGAATGACTTAATTACCCACACTTTCCATGTCTGTCTGCGTGTGGAGACCTGAACTCTGACAAATTGTAACTCACACTTTCCTTGCTTGCTCTCTCCTCTAGTCTGCCAGTTGGCAGCAGTTATAGTAGTTTCCCCAGTTGCCTTCATTAAAAAAAAAAAGGCTCCAAAATTAGTGGAATAATAATGGGCAGTAAAATGGAAAATATGAGGTGAAATATTTGCAGTTAAACTGTTAAAGCCGCTCTAAAGGGGCGCCTGGGTAGTTCAGTGGGTTAAGCATCTGCCTCCGGCTCAGGTCATGATCTCAAGGTCCTGGGATCAAGCCCTGAGTCTGGCTCCCTGCTCAACAGGGAATCTGCTTCTCCCTCTCTCTCTTTCTCTGCCCCTCCCCTCCACTCATGTTCTCTCTCTCTTTTTCAAATAAATAAAATCTTAAAAATAAAATAAAGCTGCTCTTCAGGTGCCATGTGCAAGAGGCATCCAACAAATGTTGGTGCTCTTCTCCCTTGATGGGTTGATGCGGGACCCAGGCACAATTCCAACCAGTCCCATATCCAGTCTCCCACCCCAGCGACAAAGGGTCTGGATCAATGTTTTAGGGACACTGTGTCAGATGCTGGTTCATCATTTTTAAATTTTCTTTTATTTCTTCCTATGAATGTTCCTTCACTCCTTCATATTTATTGGGCAGGAAAAACAACAGTTACCATTTTATCTTCTACCACTGAATACCTGCCCATGGTGGGGTTGTAAGGGGATCAGAGAGAGGAATGGGACTGAGGATAATTCAGAGGGATCGAGGGAAAGAAGGAGCCTCTCCACTTATCAAAGATTTGGAATGTTCTTCATACACTTTGCACTTTCCTTTCACTGGTAAACTGGCTCAGAAAACATTTGAATGTTAGTGGGGACCCCAGGGCACAGTTTTTCTCTTGACCTCACTAGGGAATGTGACCTGTGTAAGAAATTCTATCGCACCTGCCTAATGTGGGCCAAGTAGATAATTATATCTATGGGTGCCTCCAGACTCTAACATGGAGGCTGTAGATAGAGAGGCTTCATCTCACCAGGCAGCAGTTCACCCAAGAGTGACCTGGGCTATATCAATGCACAGAGACGTGCTCTAGTTATTCATGTTGCATTAAATGCATCAACACAGAAACTGCCAAACCAGGCAAGAAGTTCTTTCATCTTCTCTAAAGTCACAAACTAAGTTTTACTTATTTGTTTCCCCCAAACCTTCTCCAGATTCCTTTCCCACTTACCCCAATTAAAAATAGTATCCTGGGGGGACACCTGGGTGGCTCAGTGGTTCAGTCTGCCTTTTGCTCAGTTTGTGATCCTGGGGTCCTGCTTCTCCCTCTGCCTATGTCTCTGCCTCTCTCTGTGTGTCTCTGATGAATAAATAAATAAAATACTTAAAAAATAAAAATTAAAATAGTATCCTAAGCTAACAATGTAATATTATCAACACAATTTTGTTTGTTGTTATTTATGACCTGCCTATGTATATGTGGTAATCCATACAGACATTACTAATGGGGCTTTAAGGATAGGAACTGTATGAATGGGGAAGAGCAGTGGGAGGGATAGTTTTTGCTTCAGCCTTTTAATGATATTGTTGTTTAAACCACATGAATTTATTAGGTATTCCAAAAATTTCCAAAACAGAGAGAATCCCAGATGCATCAATATTATTCTAACAGGAATCCAGAAGAAGAGCATGAATTGAATGGACAGAGACAATGAGTAGATAATAGTTGTCCTATTTGGTTTGAGTTGCTATAGAGAATACCAAAGACTGGGTGGCTAAAACAACAAACATTTTTTCATAGCTCTAGAGAAATCTGAGATCAGGGTGCCAGAATGGTTGGGTTTTGCATAAGGGCCCCTCTTCTCAGGTCACAGAAGGCTGCCTCTCTCTGTGTCCTTATATGGTGGAGAGAGGAAGCTCTGATCCCTTCATCTCATCACATCAGGAATTAGGGCTTTAACATTTACGTTGAGGTGAGGGGCTACCAACATTCAGTCCACAGCAATGGCTGAGAGTTTCCTAGAACTGAAGCAAGATACACATTTCCAGATGGAAAAAATATCTGATGAACAAGATAGATTTTGAGGAACAATTAAAAAATATACTTAATGCAAGGAAATATCAAGAACACCATGAAGGAAAAAAATGTGAAAACTACAAGGAGCAACAATTATCTTGACATAAATTTTCCTATTAGCCACTTTGGTGCCAGAAGACTGTAAGAATCGTACCTCTGGAGTGTTAAAGAGTGCTCTGAATCTAGAATTCCACACCCATCTTCTAAGTCCATTATGAGCGTGAGACATATAGATAAGCAATGAGGCATGATGATTCCAAAAGCTACTACGTGTTGAATTGCTTAATTATTGAAGAGCATAGAAAAATGAATCTAAATGTAAGAGAATGAAAGAAGTAAGAACTCTTAATTTTTAAGAATGTCTAATTTGTAGGAAGCAAACCACAATGCAAGCCTTAAGGACTCATTTTTTAAATAATTTCCAGGGATTCTATGTTTGACCAGCTGACTGGGAGACAGTTTTACTTCTGACAAAGATAATAAATATCAGCACTAGTACTAATTAAATACCGTACATGCTCAGCATTCTCCAAATTGCTTATGATATGTAAATTCATCTAACCATCATGGCAACCTTATGAGAAAAGCATTGGTTTTTCTAGTTTACACCAAAAGAAAATTGAATCATAAAGAAGCACCATTCCTGGCCCATGGTTAGATGACTCATAAGTGCTAGCACTGAGATTTAGGGACTGTCAAGGGCCTGGGGTTACTTGTTTAGCCACCATGTTCCAGTGGGTCATCCGTCCCTGCCTTGTGTCACGGGGAAGGTGCTGCCTGGGAGACACTCTCAGAGTCCAGCCGCACTCCCGCAGCCAGGCTCTGTAGCCAGCTCGGATACCCCAAACCAGATCTGTCTTCATTCTCATGACTTAAGCTATGATCTGCTCTGTCTCTGATCCACTCAAAAGCATTCTGTGCTATTTGAAGCAAACACCTCTAAAGGAAGACATTTGTGGTTCCCCTCTTACTCTTTTTTTTTAAATAAAGATTTTATTTATTTATTCATGAGAGACACAAAGAGAGGCAGAGACACAGGCAGAGGGAGAAGCAGACTCCCTTTGGAGAGCCCAATGAAGGACTTGATCCCAGGACCCCAGAATCATGACTTGAGCCAAAGGCAAATGCTCAACCCCTGGGCCACCCAGGCGTCCCTCCCACTTACTCGTATACCCAGCCCATCTCCTCTTCCCTGAACTCTCAGCTCAATCCTTGATCTTGATTCTATGTCTGAACCACTGGACCAAGTGTTTATTCCCACTATCCTTGAGGTTTAAACATGAATATCCCCAAAGGACTTTGACTCAAACTTTTCTGAGTTGCTTTTTTTTTTTTTTGCTGCTATAAGAAGGCAGCTCTAAACCATTTTACACACAACCCCATCTGACTCCTAATACTGGGCTCCCAGCAGGGGCAGTTATTCTCTTATAGCATTTATTCTGTTTTTCCTTGTTCTCCCACAAAATGAAGCATGATTCCTGATCCCTGGGAATCAAGGTATGACAGGTCTTAGGAACTAATGACGCAGTGGAATGACAAGAAACAAATGGTTGCATGGAAACATGTTTATTTTTATATATATTTGCAATTTTACATTAGTTATAGACACATCTATGTAATAATAATGCTAAAAATACACATATATTTCAATGCTTTCTTCTAAGTATTTATTATAAAAGGGCATGGAAGAGCAACTACTCATCCCTCATTATACAAACAAGTAAATGCATATTTTAGAAAAATAACTGATCACTCGCTTCTGTAACTATATCAGTTACATAAAACTGACAGTGAACAATAATTAAAACCATTATATAAAATAATAAATAATACAGTTAAAGTTAATGCTATAAAATAAACCCATAGTAAGGAAGACTTAACTGGGACATCCTTCTACTTACGAGAACAAATGATTAGTCAGCTTTGCAATGCTAAGGTGGATAGTTGTCTAGTTATTTCTGTACTTATCATTGTGTAGTAGAAGTTATTCAGAAAAGAGCAGAAATGTGTAGGAAAAAAGTCTCTAAATTTTTGGCACTCATTGCAATTCTGAGACTTACAGCTCATACTACAAAATCCTGTGCAGAAACAGAACTTTTCAATTTTGGGGTGAGACAAGCCTGCCAAAAAAGAGGATGCTCTTGGTGATTTTGTGCATGATAAGGAAGAGGAAAGGATGGTCTGCCACAAACTGTGGGCCTCCGTGGCCAGTTCTCCCTGACAGAGTGGCCCCAGTGCCAGCAGCTGCTTCCGTGCCCTCCTCGTTCACATCAACTGTGGCTTGATGGAACACTTGGGACAGAAACAGGTCATTTGTGTTGGACATTCCTGAGAAATTGGCCTGGCCTTGGCTGAAGGCTTCCTCCATGCCCATGTTCCTGAGAATGGATCTGAGTTCATAGTGCTCCTCTAATTTGAACTGGGGGAGGTACACCTCCACATTATCTTCGGCCATCGTGTCTTTGCTGGTCCACTTAATGAATTTGTCATAGGTTATTTCACTTTCCAGCTACAAATTAAAACATTAAAAAGAAAAGCCTATAAGTGCTCAGAAAAGAAGGCAAATAACTTAAAAATATCATGTTAAAAATCAATGACTTTAACTTTACCATATGGTGGGTGATATAAAAATTTTATACACCGGTAAAATTTTTGCATGAATGTAGCACGTATGACATATATTAACGGTCTAAATTAAACTTTGAGACATGAACATTTATTATCAACCAATTCACATGTTTCTGTGAGGTGCTGCACACCATTTTCTATGCCTGTAGACATGTTTGTCATGAAAGGTAAGTTTAGCTGCAGAGGTTTAAAACAATACAAGCTAGAATGGCTTACCAACTCCAAGCCAGTGGACACATCAGCAATTTCGTCTGGAAGCAACAAGAACATGCTGATGTTTCCAGCATATGGGAGTTCTAGAATCTGAGTCTTCAGGTCCCCTATGTATCCAATGTTCAGGTCTGCATGCAAGTACATCATCTGTACAGGAACGCGCTGAGTCTAAAATTATTAAAAAGTAAATTATGAAAGTCGATATTAAGATGTCAGGAGATCTATAATTAGACATAGAAGAGAAATAGGTTCTGCTTTAGTATTGAAGAAATATCTTCTTAAAAATCAACAAAATAAACTATTTATACCCTCACAGCTGTTCTGATCTTATAAGCTTTATCATGATTACATCTATTATTAAGATGGACAATAATAATAATTATAATAATACTAAAATATTTGTTCAGCACCTGTCATGGGCCAAGAACTCTGCGAAATCTCATTGAATCCTTACAATAGTCAAATTCCACTGATCAAAAAATGGAATCCACGGAAGATAAATATCAGTAGAACCTACATCTGCATCCAGAATTATGTAATTCTAAAGCCCATGGTCTCAACATTACTCATACAGCCTCTCAGAAAATTACTGAGTGGTACTCTGTAACTTGAGTCAACCAACTGTTCAAAGTGCATAATTTATGACTAACAAGTCATGTAGGAGCATGAGTGGTCTCTAATTTTTTTTCTTTGTCTTGGCCAAGGTGTTAAATATATGTTAGGAAAAGTCCATCTTGTCTCATACCGCGTTCACACGGAAAGGATAAAGTCCATTTAATTTCTTCTCAAATGGAGTCTTCCATTTTCCTTTGAAGTAGACAGCATTCACCAGGACCATCTTGGTGTCCCCATCTACAGAACCTTCAGGTAACAAGTCTGGGATTTTGCCTACAGCAAACATGACACATGTTTAGGTTTCATGACCAAGAACTGCGACGTTATTATGATTTGAATCTCTTGAGTCCCCATCAAACTCAGCATGTACATTTGTCAGATTCTGCAGAGGTAATGACCTCAAGCTCAAGTTTTTCTCCCAATGTATCTAAAGCTTAAGTAAAGCAGACTAAATTTCTTGGAAGGTTTGCAAAGTCCAAGAGAAAATGAAGAAGTAATGCATCTAAAATTTAGAATGCCTATCAAACTGGAAAATTTTCACCTCCTTTTTTGTTTTCTCAAAGTTTCTCAAAGTTTAGAGCTCCTTCTAGATCTGATCCAGACAATCTATGAGTCTGACCCACTGACTCATTCAAAAACTTTTTTTTTTTTTGAAGTCATGCTACACCTACAGCAGAAGTCAGGCAGATACAAGAGAGGAGAAAGGAAGAACTGCCCTGGAGGGAAGAGAATGTTGGAAGAGGTGTTCAAAATAAGCAGTGAAACAATGTGTCAGAAATTCTACAACAGAACTCAAAGTACTTTGGCAGTGCAGAGAAGGGAATACATGAGCATGCCAGGGAAGGAAGGGTCTCAGAAATTATCACATCCAAGTGGGATAGTTAACAACAACAACAACAACAACAACAAAATGGCTTAAGAAACAGCCCGGGTATAGTAAATACCTGCTCTATAATTTTTCAAAGGCTCAAATACATCATTTTACTTAATCCTCATAACTATTCTGTTGGGGTCTCAGTAGTGTCATTTTACACAAAAAGACCCCCTGCTGAGAAAGGTTAGCAACCTCGTCAAGCTCACAAACTGGTAAACTGGTCAGGCGTGTGTGCCCACCTCCACTGCTACCAATCCTACCGACAGATACAAGACTAATACAAAGGTCAATGTGATCTGACCAGCTTCCATAGATTCATCATTATATCCCCAGTCAACTGAAATTCTTGGTGACTTATAGATCAATGGAACAGAATAGAGAACCCAGAAATGGGCCCTCAACTCTATTCAACTAATATTCAACAAAGCAGGAAAGACTATCCATTGGAAAAAGGACAGTCTCTTCAATAAATGGTGCTGGGAAAATTGGACAGCCACACGCAGAAGAATGAAACTAGACCACTCTCTTACACCAACACAAAGATAAACTCAAAATGGATGAAAGATCTAAATATGAGACAAAAATCCATCCAAATCCAAGAGGAGAACACAGACAACACCCTTTCTGAACTTGGCCACAGGAACTTCTTGCAAGATACATCTACGAAGGCAAGGGAAACAAAAGCAAAAATGAACCATTGGGACATCATCAAGATAAAATGCATCTGCACAGCAAAAGAAACGGTCAACAAAACAAAAAGACAACCTACAGAATGGGAGAAGATATTTGCAAATGACCTATCAGATAAAAGGCTGGTATCCAAGATCTATAAAGAACTTATTAAACTCAACAGCAAAGAAATAAACAATCCAATCATGAAATGAATTGGCAAAAGACATGAACAGAAATTTCACAGAGGAAGACCTAGACATGGCCAACATGCATATGAGAAAATGTTCTGCATCACGTGCCATCAGGGAAATATAAATCAAAACCACAATGAGATACCACCTCACACCAGTGAGAATGGTGAAAATTAATAAGACAGGAGGGATCCCTGGGTGGCGCAGTGGTTTGGCGCCTGCCTTTGGCCCGGGGCGCGATCCTGGAGACCCGGGATCGAATCCCATATCAGGCTCCCGGTGCATGGAGCCTGCTTCTCCCTCTGCCTGTGTCTCTGCCTCTCTCTCTCTCTCTCTCTCTCTGACTATCATAAATAAATAAATTAAAAAAAAAACAAGACAGGAAACAACACATGTTGGAAAGGATGTGGAGGAAGGGGAACCTTCTTGCACCATTGGTGGGAATGTGAACTGGTACAGCCACTCTGGAAAACTGTGTGGAGGTTCCTCAAAGAGTTAAAAATAGACCTACCCTACGACCCAGCAATTGTTCTGCTGAGATTTACCCCAAAGGTACAGATGCAGTGAAATACCAAGACACCTACACTCCAATGTTCACAGCAGCAATGTCCACAATAGCCAAACTGTGGAAGGAGCCTCGGTGTCCATCGACATAAGATGTGGTAAATGTATATAATGGGATATTAGTCATTAGAAACAACGAATACCCACCATTTGCTTGGAAGTGGGTGGAACTGGAGGGTATTATGTTGAGTGAAGTAAGTCAATCGGAGAAGGACAATTATATGGTTTCACTCATATGAAGAATATAAGTATATTGAAAGGGATTAGAGGGGAAAGGAGAGAAAACAAGTGGGAAATCAGAGACGGAGACAGAACATGAGAGACTCCTAACTCTGGGAAACGAACAAGGGGTAGTGGAAGGGGAGGTGGGTGGGGGGATGGGGTGACTGGGTAACGGGCACTGAGGGGTGCAGTTGACAGGATGAGCACTGGGTGTTATACTATATGTTGGCAAATCGAACTCCAATAAAAAATATATAAAAAAAAAAGGAAAAAAGAAATTCTTGGTGACTAATGACAATTCCTATGGCTTCACTTAACTTTGTGACATGAATGACAGCACTAATGTGATCATCACAAATAAAATAGACAATTCCCTCAAATTATTATAAAATATGGTAAAGCAGTCAGCCCAGGGGACCACGAGGCATTCTGGCAATACAACTGTTTCCTTCACAGCCACTGAAGACAATGCGTAAAGAGAAAAAAAAAATGGTGCTGTTCTCAGAAAAGCAGAACCTCCACATCTCTTGAATGTTGCAGCTTTTACTTTCACTTCTGCTAACCTTCACTTTCCCTCATTCCTCTGTGTCTGTGGTTTGTCAGTATTTTAGGACAGTAATTGCAAAATCTGTTATAGAAAGGAAGAACAAAAGTAATCAACTATTTTCAGAGGAACAGAAATATTTTATAAATTCTACAGAACTCAGTTCATGTGTTTTTTCCCATTATGGGCGCCAAGAAACCAAGACACCAAACTATTGCTTGAAACAAAGTTTTAAACCATAGGAATTACATGAAAATTTACTTCCTGCCTAAATTGTCTAACAGATTCTTTAAACACCCAAATGAAGAATTCAGAATTAGACTAAGGATCGAACAAGAGGAACCCCCACTTTCACCACTAACTGGTAGTGGGATTGTGAATGAGCCAGTTAACCCCTCAGGGACTCGGGGTCCAACAAAAAAAAGGGGCAAATTTGGGTAAATTATCTCCAAGGACCTTTCTGTCCTATCAGCTCATAAATCTATGGAATACCCAAGCAATTCACCTTTGCAGTAATCTCTATATTTTTCTTCTTAGAAATCTGTCTACATGTTGCTAGTCAGCAGTTACTTATTTAAGTCCTATTATTCTACCTGGAGATTTGGAAGAATGAAGGATTTTCATGATCAGTCAAAGGCTGTGCTAATTTTTGTGGAGACACAGGAGAAGGGTGACATATTGCCCTTACCCTCAAATTATTATAGTCTATATGGGATGGCAAGGCAAGCAAAATAAAATCAGTTCAGTCACAGTTGAAGGCTGTACAAAGCAAATGTTTAACAGGAGTCATGAAGCTAACAAAGCTCCAGAAGAGTGGAGAAGAGGCGAGTGGCTGGGAGATACCGCTAAGAAAGGCTAGGACTCTGGTGAACCCCTTAAACTCTGAAGTTAGGGAATGCAGAAAAACTAAGCCTGGAAGTAGCAGCTGACATGCCATGGAGAGCTCGGGAGCCAGCAGTCATCAAGCACAGTCGGTTGGATTATTAAGAATTCAAAAGTCAGGGTGAAGAGTAAGATCCTCTGCAGAGGCCAGCTGGAGGGCAGTGAAGTTGTTCCCATGTGGGGACGTTGGGGACATAGTGACAGCATGACAAGTGCGTGACTTCACCTCTGTAGTCTCATCCCCTCCCTTGTGCTTTACATTCAAGTCCAGCCAGTCTCTACTCCTTGCCCCAGAGGGCCAAGCTCCCTCACCTCTGCATCCTGGAACAACTGAGCCCTCTGTCTGGAACTCTCTCCCTGAGCCTCACCAGCTGCAGCCCATTCTCGTAATCACAACATAAACACTTCTCATTTCCAGAAGACCCTTCCTGTCATTACATTGGAGGCAAGGGCCTTTCTCGTGTGCCCCCATAAAAGCACGTATGACCACCTTGCAGCCATGGCCGATTGAACTGAACACCTCCCCTAGGCCGCGAGTTCTAGGGTGGCGGGGTTCTGTCTCCTTTCCATTTTTATCCTCCTTTGCGTGTACGGTGCCTGGCTCTTGTAAGTGCTGGATAAACCATTGTTGACTGAAGGATTGAATTCAGTAACAATGAATGGATGACTTAATTAAGTTTGAGTCCTGGTAAAAACCACATGGTGAGACAGGAGCCCATGAAAGAAGTAGGGACATGAGCTGCATCAGCAGGGACCTAAAGACCTCACAGCAGACTGGCTGTGAATGGTGAATACCAGTTAAAATACTTTTCGGATCCTGCCTCTTCCATTGCCAGTGGTCTCGCACCACTTACTCAAGAGGAGAGGGTGGGGGAGGAACACATCTTCTTTCTTTGTTTTTGTCCACACCGTACATACAGCACAATTATTTCAACACTGGTATTTCCTGCCTTGGAAATCCTCTCTGCCTGCCCTCATCTTCCATTCTTAGGTAATATCCAAAATCAGATTAGTAAGTACGGAACAGATGTCTTCCTGCAGGAGGCCTCAACTATCCTTTCTCACTTAGAACACCCCTCAGCTGAACAAGAACAACGCTGCACTAGCCGAAGTAACTACGGTTGGGTGAATTTTAAGGGAGTTAGGGCTAAGTGCAGGGAATGATTTCTTTAAAAAATTAGATGGGAGGTTTCTAACTGAAAAGAAGAACAGGAAATATTGCTTTGGTTGTACCTTTGGTTTGAGTCTTGACCCAGGAATTAATCTTTTTTCTGGTTTCTTCAGCACATTCTAGGAAATCCACTGCCTGGGGTTCTGCGGAGTAGTATTTCTTGGAGAGTCGCATATATTCCTTTAAAGCAAGAAATAGGCCAAAGGTGACACAGAATATAAGCTGAACAAGACTTGGTGTCATTGTAAATCATGGGCTTCCTGCCCAAGACTTGGGGGGAGGGAGGGGGGGGGCCCGAGATAGGGGAAGGGGGGCTGGGAGGCTGAAAGAGGAAACGGTGTGGATTATGCGTGCTCCGGGGACCCCCTTGCCCACACTCATCTGCACTCCTGCACTGTGCACTACGGCCACTGGTAAGAGGGGAAGGCAGGGCTCGCGGGAAGGCTCTGGAAACCAGCGCTCCCCGAGCTCCAGCGCTCGCTGTGCACGCGGGGCTTCCGCAGCCGCTGAGGGAGCGCCCACCACGGAGCATGCGCAGCGGCTGCCGTGACCCGGGGCGCGGGATGGCCGCTCTCTCAGCCTGGAGGGTCGCTGCACGTCGTCGGGTGGGGGCCCAGCCATTGCAGCCACAGGTTTCACTCACTTCCTTGAACCTCGCAGTCTTCTCTCCGAACAGCTTGTTGACGCTCTCCAGTAAGTACTCCCCTGAGGCTGCGCTGACTGCGGCGCTGAGGGAGCTGAAGGCGGAGTGGAGTGCGGCTCCCGCTTGGGCCTTAAACACAGACGAGGCGCTCTTTAGAGAGCACAGGACGCCCAGCAGGATTATTTGTTAAGCAGACTTTTTTTTTTTAAATGCCACAGTAAAATGCTGTATTAATGTATACTTTGAATGTTCTTTTTTTTTCTAAAGATTTTATTCATTTATTCATGAGAGACACACAGAGAGAGGCACAGGCAGAGGGAGAAGCAGGCTCCACACAAGGAGCCCGACGTGGGACTCGATCCCGTGACCCCAGGATCACCCCCTGGGCCAAAGGCCGACGCTCAACCACTGAGCCACCCACGTGCCCCTACTTATTTTCTGACACTTTAGAGGAATCTCTGAGGAAATACTTTCCGTGTAGTGCATGAAAACTCCTAAGGTAAGGTTTTCCTTGTTTCCGACTTAGCTGCACCTACAGATTGTGTTTAACCAGCAAGTGACCAACATCCTAGAAGAAAGTGAGGCTTCTTTGAGGAGTTCCTAAACCTCAGGGTCTCTAAGGAATTTTATTCTATTAAAACGTTACCTTAGAAATGTTTTAGAAAAAGTTAATAAATATAAAAAAAGGAAAAGTTAAAGAAATTAAAAAAAGGAAAAGTTAATATAACACCTGAAAGTATCCACTTTACAACTAAAGGGTGGTCTGTGCAGTGGGAAATCTGGGTTCTAGGAAGCCACAAGAATGCAGGTGGCTTCCAATCCGCTCAACCCCCCCCCCTTTGTAAGTGTGATGACAGATACGGGGTACAGTCATGCCCAGGAGGCAGAGGTCGGGGCCCTGCAGATGGGCTGCCGGGTGTCAAAGGAGGCCTGACTGAGCCTCCATACTGAAGAGGCCTTCTCCACCTCCTCTGGCCCATGATTCCCTGGGCAACAGGCCAATGGAGCAGCCTTCCAAGAAGGAAGCTATGCGGGATCCCCCCCCTCCAGCCCATGAACATATTATGGAAGTTGCTAATCAATAGGAGTATATCTATACCCAATTTCTGTAAGTTATCTAGATAGCTGGTGCTGAAGGAAGTAGAGTACCAAGAAGAGATATTGGTACCTGAGATAGGTGAGAAATAGATACATACATATATATATATATATATATATATATATATACATACAGGGACAGGTGATAAATAGGTAAATAGAGGGGCTGGAGAGGGATATCTGAGGGTCATGGTCTCTCATGACGTCATCCCATTCCTCAGTTGTTTGTCACTCTTTACCTTCTGCCACCTGGAAATCTGCATCCGGGCATGTGCATTCTCGTTGCCACAATGGTTTCAGAATGAATTGCACATCCCCAACCAGAGGCGGAGCGGTGTGATCGAATTTAGAAACAGTTCTGGCCTAAAAGCCATGAAGCCTAGGTTCTACTCCCCCACTGCCCATACTTATCAGTGTGCTCAGAGGATATTTGTTTAAGGGCTCTGAGTTTTTGTTTTCTTTCTATGAATGGAGGAAGTTGTACTAGGTTCTTTCCCTGTCTACCATGGTGACCTTAAGATGAGAAGATTCTAGAAATAAAATGCAAAATAAATTATGAACCAATGAGTTAGATACCTGCGAAATAGCCTCAGGATAAGGGCTCTTCTGGATCTGCTGCATGAGTTCACAACCTGTAAGGTTTTCTGGGGTCACGGGGGTCTCAGGGGCTCCAACTTTGTCAAACTGAAACACCTATAATTGGAATTAGACAGAACACAGTTAATTGTATCCTTTCCTGCCAGATTATTCACCTTTAAACCAGCAGCTCTCAGGTATCTCTTATTGGTCCTGTCTACTTCCCTGCCTTTGTGTCTCGGGAACAAGCAGATACTCTTTATACATAATATATAAGTGTCAGCAACTGGAATTTTCCTCACAGGAAACAGCTTGGGTTATTTTATACTAATCCATAGACTGGCCATCTAGACAACACTTTGTTATTATGAGGTGATTTACAATCTCTTCACTAAATTATCTAAATTATCATCCAACCCATAAATGGCCTTGATAAAAAATGCCAGTATTGTGAAGAAAGTAATAAGATTAGTTCATGACCTTGTATTTCTCTGTCTTTTCAATGGCCTTATATATTATACACTTTTCATCTGTCAAAAGTCAGTTTAAGCATAAAAACAGTTAATCAATATGAACAGGGATCACATAAAATATTTGCACATACCGTATTACACATGGAAACCAACATCTATGTGGGGGACAGGCAACGGGTCAGATGACATATATACAATCTTTATATTGTGAGTGGCAGATCCAGAAAACACAGGGAAGCTGTGCAGGTGAAGGCTGGCCCCTAGGAAGCTGCCTCAGGCTCCTTCCCAAAAGTACAGCTTCCCAGCCTGGCCTCTCCAGTCTCAGCACCCCCACGCTGGCCCTCCACCCAACTTCCAACATCCTCTGGGTCTTGCTGGTCCTGCGGGATACCCCTTGGGGGGCCCAGGGTGAGGAGGAACTTATCTGGTAACTAGACTGATGGTGGGGACTCTGCTAACAAAGGAAAAGTAGGCTTGCCCAGCCAGGCAGTGAGTTTCTGGGTTGGCAGGAAAGGTGTCAGGCGTTGTGAGATCTTTCTCAGCTCATCAAATTATATATCAAGTGGCCCTACTCTGCCCCCACATAAGGGAAGAATATTTCCTGAAACAGCTTTTCTGCTTTGCATCCCTTCAAAGGAAGTTGATGCTTAAATCAGGAGTCTCCTGGCTAGCACCAAAGCCTTCCTGAATCATTGCAAAGCCTTCCTGAATTATTGCAAAGCCTTCCTGGATCATTGCAAAAGCCCCCACAGAAATGGGGGATGGGCGGGGGCCCTGGGTCATGTGGAGGTCACAAGATAGAGGCAGGCACAGTGCCCAGACAGGCAACTGAGCCCGGGCAGGTCTGGGGCCTCATCCAGAACATAAGAGCTGGGAGGACCGCTCCTTGTGCACACCAATCTCTTACAGACTTATGTGCTCTAGGAGTTCATCTCTTTTATGTATTCATTGTCTCCACTTCCACACTATCACCTTGCCCAGCAACACTGAGTCCCAGCTATGTGGCCTCTCCCTGGTCTGTAAGATGAATGTGGTGATCATAGCCTCTGTTTCACAGGATCATGCATCATATGGGCAAATTCACAAAACGCTCCTCAAAAGGTGCCTGGCGAAGGCGCTGAGGAGCACAAGCTGCTAGAACAGGTACAGCTACCAGGCGCTCTACAGGTTATCTCTAATCTGCACAACCATCATGCAGGCTGGGCATTTGCATTCTCACTTTGTAGATGGGAAAGCTGAGCCTCAGACCACGCCTTCCCTCACACACCTAGTAGGAATGCCACAGCCACCACTCAACACTGCCTGGGCTGTCCCCAAAGTCCATACTTCTTCCTCCAAGCCAACGAGCCTCTCTTTTCCTTTCAATAGGGAGTTAACCCAATTTTCCTTTGAATTGTAAAATCAGCACAGGCAGCAGAGTTATAGGAAAACAATATGACATCTTTGCATAGACCCACGTGCTTCAAGCTCTTTCCAGATACGGAAAAGCTGGCTGGACCCGGAGTGACCAATATGTTCCTTTGCCTCTGGTATCAACATTTATTTGTTTTTTATTTTAACACCCTACCCTACCTCATTTGTCATCCCCCCCTCAAATAACATTGCTTCTGATTCCTTTACATTTAAAAAATCAAGATCCTGATGTTTTCTAAAGCTCACCATGCAGTTCACGTTTTCTTTTCTCCAAGGGGAAGAGAACAAAGGGGAAGGAGTGTTGCCACATGGTGCTGGTATTAGAGTTGAGCAACTGTTTCGTTGTAAGCCTTGATGTTTAAACTTCCACACACACAGGGAGTGAGGGCTTTTACCTCCCTTCCTCCTGCAGTGAGATTGGCCAACACCCCCCCCCCCCCCCAGTGAACCACCTCATAAGAGGCAGGTTGTAAATGGGTCACTGTGCACCAGCGAGGGACGTATGCATCAGGCAGGATTCTCATGGGAAACCTAAAAGTGGCCGGAGGCATTTTGGTGTAACTGAACATACAGTGTGTACCCGTGAGAAAGCAGAGCCTGTACTGCGAGCATACAACGTCAGTGTTTGTCGCTACATGAATCCAAAAAAATCATTAGATGATGACCTTATCTGGCTCCCTGACCTGGGACATAACAGGAACGTGTGCATTTTAAATGTGCTGAATGCATCTCATGGGAACACTGAAGTATGTGGTGGAAGCAGGTCAATGGATTTCTAAGGCCCTGGGTCCAGTCCCCTGATTGAGTCCCTTCACAGAGTCCTTCCACCAATACCTCACAATGCTGCCCCACATCCTGTCCACCCTGATTTTGAAAACTGGCCATCATGCCAGCCCCTCATTTTGTTGATGTGACCTCACAGAGTTGATAGTATGGCTGGGGCCCTCTGAAGTCACGCTCCTCTCCTTGCATCTTCAATAGTGTGGTGACCACAGCTCTTCACGAAAAGCTCTTAAAACCAAAGGAGAAATTCTTTACATGTGTGGGGAGCAAACACAGCCCAGTGGGAGAGGCACAGAAGGAGCCTGAATGGACTAGGCATCAGGAAACCGTAGGAGACCCTGGCAGGTGCACCATTCACGCTGCTAGGCTTCCATCTATAAGATGATGCTTGTCTTAAAACCAAATGAGATAAAGCATGCAAAATACTTTGAAAAGTATAAATATAATCTTATAAAATGTAAGACATGGTCCCTATTTCCAGCCTTCTGAGATAAGAAACTGCAGTATGCTTTCTGCTATCCACAGTTGAGAGTTTTTGTGGTTTAGCTATTTTGCAGATTTGAACCTAGAGAACTTGTGTTGTAATAGCATGTGACAACCATTGACCTTGATAACATCAAGCTGTCTGAAGCGTGAAATTACAATTCTACACTTCCATTCAGGTGGGACCCAGTCCTAATTTGGAGCTTTAATAGACACTCACCTTGGCCATCTGGTCTGCAGTTTTTCCCCTGGCACCCAGGTAGACCATGGCTATGGTGGATGAGATGCTCCATGGAGAGAAGAAGAGATTCGGGGTGGCACTAGTATTTGCCAGATGCTTAAAAATATTGAGGGCGAAGATGGTGTTTGCCACATAAAGGTCTTCCATTGTTTCAATCTGGAAAGAAAGCGAGGAAGAAAAAAGCTCTAAAAGATGACAACATTTTGGGTGATGTCAGCCAAGTAGTACAGGTGTACCCTGCACAGGACAGGGCTTCCCTCTCTGTTCTTCCTTCATGGGACAACATGAAGTAGAGCCTGGATGGCATCATGGTCCTATGACCTGTGCAGCCTTATAGGGCTCCACACTTGGTGCGATGCTCTGCTGTCACCAACTTAAAATTCTTGATAATTTTGAACAAGGGGCTCTGCATTTTCCTTTTGCACTGGATCCTGTGAACTATGTAGTTGATCCTGAGATGCAACAAACAGTTAAATGATGAGTAGGGACGTTCCATATAATAACCATAATAACAGCAATGACAATAAATAGCATTCATTAGATTCTTACTATACAACAGATGCTGTTCTAAACATTTTACCAACCATTTAATTCTTGCCAAAACCCTATGTGAAAGGCATTGCTATTCATGTTCTACGAAGGAAGAAACTACAGCACAGAGGATCAGAAAAGTGACCAGTGTCACCCAACTATAAGGGGCAGGAGGCATGGAAGCCAGGTGGGTGGCTCCAGGGACATGATTTCAACCTCTGCTGCATCTGCAAATATCGGGGACCCACATGGGCAAATACACACCTATTCAAACATATGCCACATGCACACATATTCTTGTTGGTCCCTGGTGAGATTGTCAATTCTTTCAGATTCCCTGTTTCTAAGAGTGTCTCAGATTCATCATCTGACGGTTGGTTTTTTACCCAGCTCCTAACTCCTGTACCAACCTCCCCCACACACACACACACACCTATATCCATCAATGGCCTGCAGTGAAACAGCTTCCTACATTATGAGGGGCCATGCTGGAAACGCCACCTGCTTCTCCTGCCACCACCCAGTAGGGCAGTCCATTGCAGCACTGCGGGGATCATACGTACACACACCCTGTCACCACCTGAAGATAAAGGACAGACACACCTTCCATGACCCAAGTGTCTGTGTGAAGCGGAATGCGGGGACACACCCAAGGTATGCGCGGGTATCTGTTGGTACTGGCCAGTGATCATTCTCTGGCTGTGTGTTATGCTTTCAATGTGGCTTAAAACACACCCTATAATTACCAAAATATATAAATATACCAAATGACGCTGACACTCAGCATCCCACAGGAAACTTTGTGACAGTGGCTTCCCAGAGCTGAGGAGAGGCTGAGGGAGGTTCCAAGGTGAAGGACGTCCTGCATCTGTAGGGCATGGCTCACTCAGCAGGCTTCCTGACAAGCGCCAGCTCCCACGTCCCTCCCTAATCCAGGCTGTCTTAGGTGAACACTTGGCTCATGACCACTTTTTAAGAAAATCGTTGCAATTTGAATCAAAATGGCTCATGTGAAATACCACCCAATTGTATTTTAGCAAGACAAAATTGTGAATTAAGCAAAATTTGTCCCTGAAGCTACCTCTTCTCATTCACAGGATCTATAAAGGTAGCTACTGTTATCTTCATTTTATAGGTAACCTCCTGATGCTCAGAGAGATTAAATAACTTGCATAAGGTCACAGAGCTTCTATGAATGATACAGGGATTGAATCCTAGGTCTGCTGCAGGAACCCACTCGACCCACTGCCTTACACTGCCTCTCCTGCTGGAGGTGAACTTCACTATTATGTGTAAGAGTTTAGGAAGCTTACTAGCTTGAGAAATGCTAGAAAGAGGAAACAAAAATAGGAAGGTAGTAAGTCCACAATGCTCCTAGAAGGCTTATTAAGTAGAGGAAAAAAGAAAAACCACTATTGTATTTTCTTGTTTCATCACAGAGATTAGGTTAACTTGGGTGACTCAGACATTTGTTTTCTCGTCCTTCTACTGATTTAAAATTGTCTTTATATTAATTAGTCTTACTGGGCAGATCGTTTTTGTAAGTTATCTCAGTAACATTTTGGAAACAAACTGAGAATTAATTTCATAAATAAAATACATCTCTATCCTCTTGTGAAAAAAAAAAAACTAAATAAAGATTCAGCGCCAGACAAGTAACTGTAGCCTTCTCCTAGACTGAATTCTTTATAGTATCTTGCGTAGTAGTAGGTCACTGACACTAACAAAATTTAAGTGTTAAACTATTAGAGAGGCTTTTGATAGCTTTCTGGTGACTTTATAAATGAAACAAGTAAAGAAGGACAGAATTAAATTGTCCCAGGTGCATTTACTTCTTTTAAAAATAGTCTAGTTTTTATACTTTTAAGTAAGGTGCAATTAACTACATCTAACATTAAAAAATAGGATCTCGTGTCTATATTGCAGTTACCAAATTCCTTCAGCAGCATTGTTTTCATTTAATTTGTGTCATTACTTGCTCAGGAAAACCTAGTAATTTCTTGTTACCAAAACCTGAAGATGCAGACTGCACAGCTAGTTAGCTTCAAAGCCTAGACCGAATCTCAGCCTTCTGATTCTGAGTCTGGCGCTTTTCACATGAAGTTTGAGAAGTTTGTGGTCTTAGTAATCTATGAAGGCCCACATATAGCATGTTTCCTCTCAGACAAGTCCCTGCCTTACCTTTGGGTAGGAATCTGCCTGACACAATGTAAAATCAAAGTCACAGAATGGTGTCAAATAGCATAATTGCCCGAAACAGGTAACACCTGTTGTGAGTTTCTTACTCAAAATTTACAACTTCATTAACTTCCAGATATCATGCTGCTAATTAAGGTTTAATATTATCACGAGGAAGAATAAATGGAGAGCATATGTGGGGCTGGGCTTCTCATTGGCACTGGATGTTAGTTTGGAGTTTGCTGTGGCATTTAAAACAATTTGTTTTGCGACTGCATAGTGCAAATATTTAGAAAGTGACCACAAAAATCAAAGAAAACAAAGAGGAAATAGTACCTTCAAGGAAACATCCCATCCAAACTTAGTATTCTCTCCCCAATTAAAAGCAGTTCCTGTTATTTGATGACTTTCATAATGAATGAATGTCTGGGGGCATTAAATTATTTATCAAACTATTACTTCAGTCAGTCCAACAACCAGTTTGGCAAATTTTTCTCTTCCATTAAATTGACCAATTATTGACTAAATTCAATAAATATAATGGGGTGTTCAACAGACCCAACCCAGATTGCTGCTGAATTTCTGCAATTTCTGATAGTTTTAGGTAATGACGGTCATCCTTATTTTTATTATATTTATATGATACTTATATATTATTTTCATTGCTTAAATTACTACATTTTAATGACGTGAATTATATCAATTAATAATCGATATAGCCATTTCCATCCAGTTCAGTGTCAAAATCCTAGTTAATAAAGAATATACATTTTCTAACCCGTTCGATAAAATCGACATCACCACTGATAGTGCACTTTGGTTAATGTTACACAGGCATCAGCTGGCTTCTGAGACTCAAGATTAAGCCTTACTATAAATTAGGTCAACTCTTGAACTAAAATAGTTTCACTTAAAAATAATCTAAACAAGAAAACACCATGACATTTCTACTCATTTTCTAAAGACATCCCACACTTTAACTTTCATTATTAATAATACCAGTACAAAGGAAGAGGGGGAAAAATGAAAGCCTGTTTCACATGGCCACGGAAATCACTGAAATACCTGGTTATTCCCAGAGGCGCTGCTGACAAGAAACCGTCCTCAGAGAGCTGTCGGAGTGCACACATGAAGAGGACTGGTTTTATAAAGCTCTGCCCCTCCCACACAACTTTTTTTTTTCTCTTTCTAATCTGTATCCTTTGAGTGATTCAACATTTTACTCAGAAAGACATCACTATTATAAAAATGCTTGTTTGCTAAGGCATCATTTAAGAAATTTGTCCAGAGGATGACATCATCCAGAAACCTAAGAATTTGGCAATACCTACACATGCCTGTTAAAATTAGCTAAAGTCTGTCAGCCCGTTTCAAGTGTCCCCCTCTATACCGGTGCCCAAGGACAGTGCCGAACTCGACAATAAGCCTTCTGTCATTGTGCAGAGATGGCCGGTGGGCTCTTGGCAATATTTAAAGACAACAGAATCCATTCTCTCTGAGTCTAGACACCCCTGAAGCGACTCTTTGGGCATGGAAAGGAAAAGAGAACCACTATTTTTCTTTCTTGGAGATTCTCTATTTTAAATTGTCTTAGATATCTCAAACTATAATTTCCTAAATAATTCTGGGTTCCACCCTAATCTCCCGTCACCAACCACACCCAAAGAACTTTCTGTTTGCCCCTGTTTCCAACACAGATCTTATCTTTTATTATACAGAGAAAATCTGTGTACTTGATACTGACTTTTAATTTATCATGTTGAAAACTTGATTGAAAAAAATCACTACGTAGGGGTGCCTGGGTGGTTCAGTCAGTTAAGCACCAGACTCTTGATTTCAGCTCAGGATGTGATCTCAGGGTCGTGAGATTGAGCCCTGTGTCCTTGGGCTCCTCTTGAGCATGGAGTCTGATTAAGATTCTCTCCCTCTCTCTCCCTCTACTCTTCCCCACCATTGCCACACATGGCCACTCTCTCTCTATAAACAAACAAACAAACAAATAAGCAAGCAAGCAAAGTTAAAAAAAAAATCACTAAGTGTTTTGATACAGCCAAGGGAATTTGAGGACAAAAACAGATTTAAAAAATAGGTATGATAAAAGACAATTTAAGTCTAAAAAAGGTTATATTGTTAGAACTAATCAAAAAGTGCAACACATTATAAAGGTGGCTTCTCTTCTATTTGCTTTACTTCTATGTACAGAAAATCCTCAAAGGGAAGGGAAGGTTAGAAGTAAAAGCATTGTATTTCTTCTCAGTTGCCCTGGGGAGCTCCGTGTCTGTGCTGGGAGAGCTGGGTCGACAACCTGAGTGTCAGTGATGCCAAGTCTGTGGGTTTAAGCCCGGCATGAGCTTCTTCATTTGCCTGTGGTTTAAAGAACCAGATATTCCCTGATCTCATCTCACTCATGTGGTTTCCTGTCCAAAGGAGTGGGGGTTACTTAGCCCAAACCCCTCGTTATTATCAGAGGGACAATGGGCTAGGCGTATTCTTCAGAGTCTGTATCTGGCAGCCAAAACCCAAATTATTTGATTTTTTTAATTGCTGGAAGATCTCAGCTCACACAAAGAAAAAGCTGGAATCCCACCCTCAGTAATGATCTTTCAAATCCTAAATTCCTCCGTAACACCAAAGGAAACTCATAGGCAGCCATTGACCCTTTTGCTAATTTTTACATCCCCAGGTACTCGGCCAGGTCTCTGCCTCGGCAAGTGATCAGCAGGTGCCACTTCTGGTCTAACGATCTCTCCCCTTCCAGACTCCGTCCCCTGGAGGGCCCTTCTGGCAATGTCTACAGGACCAATCTGTTCAACTGTTCTTGAGCCAGTGCAACAGTCTGCTGAGCTAATAGAAGATGAAGCTAGAACCCTAGTCACCCTTTGCTTTGCTCACTTTTCAGACTCCACTGTTTCTACCTGATTGCTTTCACTCAAGTTATTCTTCTCAACAGGAAAGCCATCCTTCTTTCTCCCCACTGACCCAAATCTGTGAGGTTCTACTCATACTCTACAGCTTCTATGACATCTGGTCTGACTTACACAATCCTCGGTGAACTCCTGCTACACAGAACTGCACCTCTTAGAGCTACAATATAAAAATGTATTATTAATTAATTAATCAGATGTCTTCTAGACATTTCATTGGAGTGGGCTTCTATTCCTACATAGATTCTACACTTGATGCCCCTTCAGCAGCAAGAACAGTGCTGAGTCTCAAGTTGGTACTTACAAAATATCCCTTGACTGAGTGAAATGCTAAAATTTTCTAGAAAGGCTCTTTAGTATGGTGAGCAAAGATTTAGATTCTGAGGGACTCAGAAAGGTATGACTTGAATTTTCTGTCAATTACGAGTGTATAATCTTGCACAAATGTCTTTCTCAATCTCTCTGAGCTTGTTTCTTAATGGATGCTGGTACTGTTCATTGCCTCTGCAAAAGCAATCCATTTTTTGTTTTTCTTTTTCCTGATTTTTCTTAGGTATCAGAGATTCCTTGTCTTGGGAAAAGAGGGCCTGGTTGTTGGTCTTGGAGGGTAGCTATATAACCCAATCTTGGTCAACAAGGTTTGGAATAAGTCTGTTGGGGTGTGTCTGGGGGAAATTTTTCCTTCCTGATAAGAGAGAGACATACAAAGAGAACCTCCCCTATCCTACACCATCCTCTTCTACCAGACTTTGAGCATGGCTGTGTGAAGATGTGATGCCAGGAAATGTTGCCACCATATGTCAACCAGAGAAGAAGGCCAAGAGGTTTGCAGAGATGCCAAACCAGAGCCCTGACTTCAGAGCACTCCCAAGTCAATGCTGGAAACTACCTACCTCTAGTTTTTGTTCTTATTGTTACCTGAGATGCTAAATAGTAAGTCTATATTATTCCTAAATGACACAGACTTTTGTGAAGAATAGATCAGACAATGTCTGTCAAGTGCTTAGCATACTGTCTTTCATACTGTGAGTGTTTGACAGAGTGGGTTAGTGGGTAAAATAGAGTACTTGTGGGTGGCCAAATTTGGAAGTTGTCTTCCCTCCTAGATTAGAGAAATTTGGGGGGCTCGGTATAAAAAAGAGAAGATGGTCACACATCAAACTATCAGATGAAGCGTAAAAGGCAATATATGATTAGAAGCCAAAATGAGTGGCACCAATGGTAGGTGGTGTCGCAGGAAAGAGAGGAAGGGTTGATACATGTGTGTTAGGGGCCTCAGAGAAAGAATATAGATAAATGAAAAAATTAAAGATTTGAAAGGGTAAAGCACTAAAATTACAGAAGTGGGAAGTGATGGCCATTCACTGGCTTCCTGAGATATGCCCGGTGTGGTCAGTGTTGTAGGGGAAGGAGAGAGGGGGAAAGGTGACAGCATCTCACAGGGGGGACTTGACACCAGAATGGACTGAGATCTAATCTAAAGATATATTACATAAACTCCTGAGAGGGGAAGTTGCTTGTGAAAACTGTGAAAGGGAAAAAAAATCCAAGAAATGTAGAAGAAGAACTCAGATGGTGAGACCCCTACCAAGAAACCACTGCAAGAGCCCAATCAGTAGGTAGATTAGAAGAGCAGAGCTACTACCATTAGTAGTAACTACCAGTCTTACCATTATAAGATAAATAAGATTAAGTCTCTCAATTAACTTCAAACAGTACTTACAACAGCTCTAGGTCAGATCACTTCTACCAAAGCTGAGAATGGTAGAACTGGCATGACTCTTAGCAGCTTATTTTCTTATCTTCTGGTGGTAAAGAGGATATAACATTATATATGCAATATGACCTCAGCCATATAAGTAAAGTATGTGCAGAAATATGACTTGAAAGAAATGTGTCAAAATGTAAACAGTGATTGTAGTAACTTTATAGATGCTGGTCAATTTTTTTTCTTAACTTTAAAAGAATTCCCCACATTTTCCACAATAGGCATGCATTACTTTTAAAACCAGAAATATATGATCAAAATATCTATATGGAGGTGTTTATTCTCTTCCCAGTAGCACTACAATGAAACATATCTAAAGAGAAATAAGACCGAAAATAAGAAAACAAGTAAGGTTCTAATATTCTAATTGGGAGATTACATGCATTGTGTTTTTTCTCTGAAGCACCTGTCCAAATGTGATTGAGTAGCTTTAACCACCGGGTCTTTGTCTCCCTGTATGCAGTAAGCACCATGAGTTCTGAAACCACGGTAGTCTTCCCCATGACTGAGATACGCACTTGGCTCAAATTAAGGTGCTCACTGTTTGCTGAATGACTTGCTCATGCTAAGCACGTTGCCATGTTATTTCTTTTCTCTTATCCACTTTGAATGAACAACCACTGGTGCTTCCAGAATTACCCTCTCCATGGGATTTGCTGGTAGATGGGAAATATACAAATGTATCCTCTCAAGAGCATCAGTAATGTCACCACTGAAATTATCCAAAGCACAGTACAATTGTAGGTCAAAAAGAAAGTCCCATTTTGACATAAAATGCCATCTAATAGTCTTACTTTACTAATGACTTTCCATTAAATATACTGAAACACTGTTTTTATAACAGATCATTAATATTAATTAGCCTGAGTATTACAGTAGCATGGTTCACCCTAGAAATTTAAGCAGCTGTTGCTATGAGCAGGACCCAAGGCATGTGAGAGTGGCCACCTCCGTGGTGTGAATTTGGGGTCATCTTGGCTAAGACATCATGCAGTATATACTTTTTGAAATATAATTATCAGAGAATAAACATCTTCTATTATTAGCAATAAAAGTCATGTTAATGGCTCTGGGAGAAATAATACATATTTCTAAATTCCTACAAAAAAAGGCTTTTGACAGAGTAGGGAGAGGCGGTCAGGCCAGGAGTCTTGGGGTGTGTGAAGAGGATAAGAAAGGAACAAGAAGGTTTTGAATGAGAGTGAGCCAGGCCATAGAAAGGGACAATACCAGGATCCAGGGCAACGGAAAGCAAACCTTATCTATTTTAAGATATTGCCCTGGGCCAGCCAGGAGTATGAGAAAGTTTGCACATGAAACAAGCTCTGTTAGGGAGTGTAACACTTCAGTCAGAGTATTTATCTTGTTGCCAAGTGATAATCCCAACATAGATTCCATAGTTGGTAGGCCGTGGGAACACATA